ATAAGAGAAAAACTCATTCTGACAGTAGATTTTCCAACGATTGCTGTATGTTAGAATGCTTCATCTTACCATTCCTGTGACTGAGTTTAGGCTTCCTAGTGATATTTTCTTTAATACCAAGGGAAAAATAATTGTTTATCTCTGCCTTTTCTACTAGCCATTAGAAAATTGGAAGTGTTTCTTAAAAATTAGCCCAAATGGCTTTCCAATAACAAATTTTCTATCTGTTCTCATAGCCAAGCTATTTTTTCTCATGTTTGGAAGAGAGTTGATTAGTACAACTTTCTTCACAGAGGTTTTTGGTCTTTCAAATGTTGTTACTGAAGTTGGTTGGAAACCCACAGGGCCAGAAGGCAGCTGTGAATAACCTGAAAATAGTATTTGTGAGTCCTGGAAGGAGCTCCTCCTAATACGAGAGTGAAGAGCTGGTGCCTGGGGGTGAGTGGCACCCAGATGGCTGAGGGCGCCTGGTCAGCAGTTATGAAGAACTAGAGACGCTTTTAGAGAAAAGGGAGAAGGAGAGCAGTCCAGGAGGGGGGTCAGAGAGAGAGCAGAGCACTGAGGAGCCATAGGGGTCTCGATTCAGAATATCTAGGTGTGCCAAAGCTGACTCAAAGCTCCCGAGCTGTGACTTGCGCAGAGAGCTCACAGCAGAGCCAAGGGAAGGGGCAAAGGCAAAAGCAGAGCTCTTCCAGCCAAGTGTACTACATGACCTTGCTCAAAAGCCAAAATGCAGCCAAGAACAGGACTGAAGACGTGTGGGTTTTAGCACAGAACTCTTCCCATCTTTTAAACTTTGGAAATCTGCAGCAAAAACTGACATCTACTAAGGGGATGATAATGCAAACAGCTCCTCATTTTCACGCTATGCTTCTGATGACAGGAGTGGCAGACGACACAATATTCCTGTTTTCACCTCTAGCAAGCTTTTAGCCAAAAAATAATCTTTTTAACTGCTTTAAACTATTGCTGGGAGTACATGCTCCCAAACTGAATGTAGCTTTGTGTCACTTCGCCACACCCAGCGTGGTTCTTTGCGGTAGGAACCAAAGTCAGGATCTCTACCCACACCAGCTTTATAGACCTTGCAGACAAGTACATGCGCGTGAAGTTGGGTTCTGAACAGGTGTGTCTCGCTGGAGTTATGAGCATTGAAAGCTGCTCTATGATTTTGTACTCATCACATGGACCCAGATACCCTATGTCTCCCAACCCAGTACAAATAGGGTGAAGCAGAGCTGCGTAAAACATAGCCACTGTATGGCCACAATTTCTGTATAGCTATGTTGCAGGTCACTCTCATGAGCAAGATAATGAGATGTTTTTTCTTTTCACAAACCTTCCATTGGTTTTCCTAGTAAAGCTCCTGAGAGCATTAGCCAAGGCTGACGTGCCCTCCAGAGCTGGCCTCTCTTCTCCACTTGGCCTGGGTCGTCTAAGCATCTCCTTGATGAGTCCTTATAAATGCAAACCTCAGAGAAAGTGACCTCTCAAGTGCCCTGGAGCATCCACTAACACTGCGTGGTGCCAGGAGACCTGTCACTCACCGCAAGTCTTTAACTTCTCCTTCCTCAGAATTGATTGATAGGATAGTCTACAAGACTGACAGCTCTTGCTAAACTTGCAAACAGATGACTCCTTGCATCTTCTCCAGCCATGCTTTGCACCAGAATAGAAAAAGAGCACGTCTCCTGAGGATATGGCTACAGGACAGCCACCAATTCCAAGACCCTACGGTCTATATAGCTTTTCTAACAGTGAACAGAGTTGCTCTTGGCATTTATATGCACAGCATTTCTCTGTGGTCACTATCCCCACGTTGATTGAGGTTGTGTCTTTCTGACAGTCTTAGAACAACCCAAGGAGTCAGTGAGGAGGTAGACTGCCCGAGGACTCAACACAGTGTCTCCTGCCAGTCACTGCAGGGTTTCTTCAGCCCTCTGGGAGAGCTGGTTTAAAGGATGACCTGCAGGTGGGCTGTTAGCTGTAAATTTCTGTTACATTAAACTTGAAATTTGTGCTACCCAGAGTATCACCGTGACTGGAAGAGCAAGAAAGAAGATGTCATCATAAATGCTCATCAGCAGATTAAGCAGTAGAGCCTAAAACTTGGGATTGACCCCATTTGGAACACCACTTTGTGGATATGACATTTTATGGCAAGAACAGAACATATGAAAATGTGGAAGTACCTTTTATCGGCCAATTAATCTTGTGGCTATCTGGATGATATTGTTCAAACTCTGCTGTTGGCTGCTGGCTATGTTCAGTGAGCTGTGTTCCTGCTGTTGTTTTAGACGAGGCGCAATGAGCTCTCCTACCCCACCCCCAGTGTATCCTCAACAGTGAGATCAGGATTCCGGATGAGGAATATATTCTGTGTTTATGGAGTAGAGCTGTATGCTGCAGGCAGATAGCCAGTTTGTAAAAGATCAGACCCAATTCTCGCCCAATGTTTAGAAAAATTAGCACCATAATGTTGTCTTGACTGTGCTCCTCCCCACGGCTCCCTGCTCGGTGCCCTGCAGCCCCCACATGGCTCCCTCTCCTGCTGCCCTTCCCTCATGCCTTCCAGACACTTGGGAAGGCTCCCACTTCTATGTCCTCTGATCACCTGCTCGCCCAACCTCGGCAAACAAAGATAAGCTTCCTTTTGAGTAGAGTTGTGGACTGTGGGGAATTTTGTGGAATATTCAGGTGTAATCTCCCTCTCATGGGTTGAGAGAATATATGAAGACAGATGGGAGATGCAAGGAAGACAGAAAGACCCCTCTCAGTGGCACGGTGGGACCACGCCTAAAGACAAAGTGCGCGTTTCCCCCGCTCCTGCACCAGGCTCAGTGCTGGCTCATAACAACTGCCAAGGTCAAGTTTTGCTGATTTTTTTGAATTTCAGTATAGTGAATAATACGTGAGAGAGCAACCACCCAGTGTTCTCAGGGCGCGGTCAGCATGATGATAAAATTACTGCAAAGATTATTTTAGGGTGAAAGTCTGCTTTTAAGTGAAGACAGTGGAGTAGATGAGAACTAGTTTGGGCCCAGGCTGCCTACATTAAGTATTAGCCCTGCCACTTCCCAGCAGTAAGCGCTTGGGCCAGTTAATAATTTCTAACCCTCACTTTTCTGCATTTTTGAATTGGAAGTGATGGTACCCACCACATGGTGTTACTGTAGGGATTAAATGAGTTAATCCATAGAGAACCCCTGGTATAATGCCTGGCCCACAGCAAATACTATATGAATGTTTGCTATTATTATCTGATTGATTCTTCTGCTCTGTTTGAGAGACTGTACTATTAACTATTCTGCTATATTTGGGAGCCTTAATTATTAAGACTCTCACTTTTAACTAGGATGAATGTGTGTGAAGCTAAATTTACCCACCACATCACTCTTCTTTGATCTGATTGGCCTTGTTAGCAACACGAATTCACCGTTCACCAAATGCCTACTATGCATATACCCCTCAGCCACCTGCTGATGCTACTACATCTGCTATCTAAAATTTCTCCTTGCCTAATTGTATAGTTGCAGAAGGATCAATGTGTATGGAATCTTGTGACTCCTGAGTTCCAACACTGAGTTTCTGACTTGCATCTTCTTGGCTAGAAACTTTGTGCAGCAACCCCCAATGCAATGATTGCTTTCCTCACTACTTCATCTAACTGACCTAGAATACTTTACACAAAGCTGGCTGATAGGAAAAGAACATGAAAAATGTATAACACCAGGAGAATTCCTTTCTGACATTAGCTCTGCTTTTATTTCAGCAAGGTAACAGCATCGTTTGTCTTTCCAATCATAGTCAGTGCCATTTCTCGTGAGGCCTATTATTTTCTCAAGAGTTATACCAGCCTGCTTCCAGGATCCGTCACTGCATCTTTGTGTTCTCTGCCTTTGTGGGCACAACGTGGGGGTTTCGTATTAGAGGAGATCTTCAGTCACAAGCCGTTCATAGGAAATACTGGTTATAAATGTTAAGCAACGTTAATTGTTTCAGTACACCTGGGATGTTACCTGTATCAGTGGGTGCAGGTAGCAGTCGTTCCTTAAAATTTTTCCTCACTGTTCAAGGCTTTCCTTCTCCTTTTAAAAAAATCATCTTTGTTTAACAGTAATGTTTGGTTTGCTCAATTATAGTTTTCTTTGTCCTATCTTCTGAGGCAAAATGTAAAGAACTTTGCCTCTGTAATATTTTCTCTCCTCCTAGGGGCTTTTCAAGGTCCAGATGAAATATGCAATCTCTTTTCTGAGATAGCTGACTCTCTCTTGGCTTGAGCTACTTGATTTAAAATAATGCCAAGTTTTATATTTTCTTATGGCCTTCTCCCCAAAATGTAATCCCTGAAAAACTCAGAAAACTCTTCTCATCTTCTCTTCCTGGAAGTTTTAGGGACAGACAAATGTCTTCTTAGCTATCTACTCAAAGCTCAGCGCAGTGCTTAGTGAGTATTTCCACGTCAACTGAGAACCAGGAGCATTTAATTGTCTTAACTCTGAGGATTTAGAGTAGACGTCTTTTTCAGGCCTGAAAGTCCATGGGCAGCCCATTTTCACCCAACTAATTCAAAGAGCAATACAACAGAAAAAGTATGTTTTCCCATATTTTCTAAGTTAACACATGGGCACGCATTTCTCTAATACATTGATCAAAGCCTTGTGAGAAGTGTCGAAAACAAACTGAAGCTACGACCTCCTCCCAGGAGGAGTTTTAGGGAACAATTCCTTGTAATAAAGAGTATGCTGATGGCTGACCTGGTAAATGCTACACGTTCCCACTTAGGACCTTGCGGGGTTCATGCAGGATTTGACCTACAAGTACTTTTAGGAACATGATAAGTTAATGCCCCTGTAATTCTATTAATTAGAATGTTTGACTAAACAGACTCTTCCTTTTTCTGAACCATAAGATTTCAAGAATTCTTAGATACATTATTTAAAACCACATTGTTGTTGGTAAATGTGCACATATTTATCTTTGGTTTGTTTCTAATACAGGGACCTCCTGGAATGCAAGGAGTACAGCAGACTCTGGGTGGATTTTATAACAAGGTTTGGCTTCTTTTTTTCACATCTTCTATACACATAGATTTTTGTATGATTGTATTTTTGAAAAAAATAAACATTAATTCCTAACTCCTCAGACTTTAAAACATAATCACATACACTTAACAACTTTCCATACTGAAAATATGTTTCAAAAAAAGTATTTTGCTCGGCATTGCTCGGCATCTTTTTACAGTACCAGGACATTATTCTTAGAAATAAAAAAAAAATTTACTTCAAAGTTTGCAAAATTTCATGCAAAAAATTAATGCAAAAATCGTGTTTCACCATGGATAATGTCACATATCTAGTTTCTCTGAGGGCAGAGATTATGTGCCGCTTTGAAGCTCTGGGTCGCACAGTAGTTCTGGATTTCTGATGGGAACCAGTTGGTGCTGCACTGAACTCTCAGGCAAGCATTTGCCTACCACAGGTCAAGACCCGGAGTCCCCACCTTCCAGGGAGGAGCCACTTTTAACCTCCCCAAGGTTTTTAAATTATAGTTCGGATGGACGGAATACCAACATGGAAGCATCTGAGAGACAACAGGAAAACAGTTTTGCTCCCCATTCTCCAAGGAAGCAGAGCAGAGGGAGCGGAATGGACGTTGGCAGTGAAGTGAGACTCAGAGACCTAAGTGAGACCATTGATGGAGCCGTCGGTCAATACCAAATACCTGGGGTCTGATCTCTCAGTCAAGGCATTCTGTCCACAGGGTCCCGTGTGTAGGTAACAGCTTGTCATTGATACGGCCTGAGTAATTGCACACAACACAGAAAAAGTCGGAGACGCTCCCTTGCGTGTCTTTCCTCTATGTTCTTGCTTTCCCTTCCTATCAATTCCTCGAAGTACTATTATTCCTCTCTGTTTAGAAATTCCCAAGAGACACTCTGTGTCACAGAGCCCTTGAAGATAGCAGTTGCTCAGAAAAGTGTTTGTTAAATGACAAGCAAATTAATTAGAAATCCCAATTCTTCTTTCAGATTAGGTCAGCATAAAGACCCAGATCATTTGCGGTGGATAAATTTAAAGTCAAATGTGTGAGAAGTTTGTTACACTTCCAAAGTATCCTATCTTAAGTTTTCTCATTTACTTAGATTTTCCAGGGAGTATTATATTAGGAAGAATGTCTGGGGTATATTTTATGATTCTTTATAAACATTTTCCGAATAGATCTATACTAGATTTTTCAAAACATTAGGGCTTGGCACAAGTGAAACAAAAGTGAACAAAGCATATCTAAAATCAATCAACTAGAATACAATGCTTTTCTATAAGGACATCTACTGTTACAAAATAGGATTTATCATGAATGCTTCCAAATAATGAGAATGAGTTGGCTCTGATGTCACAGTGTCAGCTAGAAAAACTTAACACACTACATTACTGTCACCCTTGGTATAAAATTTGCCAAGTTGCTACTTAGCTACTTAAATATTTGCTATTCCTCTCCAAAGCTTTAAAGCTCATATATTTACAGGTCTCCCAACACTGCTACTATATATAGTTTATCTTGCCAATAAGTCAGTTCCCCTTTAAATGAAGATATATGGAGCATTTATATTTTAGAGTCTAAAGTTGAAAATGTAAAAATGTAAATTTTTAAACTTTAAGGTTGTATTTCCAAAAACTGAGGGCTGACCGGAGCAGGTGAGTGGAGAGTCTTGCTAGTAGCAAGTTTGTACTTTGAACCCAGCTGTTGACTCTCCTGAGGGAACTCCAGCCTCCTTCTGACCTCCAGAGCCTGGGAGGATTGAGGTTCACAGGGAGTCTACCCACGGGAGCTCGAGACAGAACTTCAGAGCTGCAGCACAGCTGGTCAAAGGGCAGAGACCATAGCTTTTCTTCCCCAAATGGTGCATTGTAACCATTTAGCACCAGAAGGCTTTAGACCCACCTGGGAATTAATGGAAGGTAACTTCCCAAAGCCTTTTCTCTGTTCCTTCTGAGGGGAGTTAGAGCTGTTACACTGAGGTCCCACCAGGTGGATGGAGGAGCCGGGCCCACCTTCCCAGGACGTACTGACCAACGTTTCTGGGTTATGAACACCTCCTCCACACCCTCAGCTTCACAAAGGAAAGAGCCAAGGGTGTAAAGTGCTTGTTTTCACTTGGTGATGTCCTCCCACCTCCCCACCCCATCTATTTTTGGCTACTGAGGTTGTTTCATTTTGCAATTCATGGCTGCCTGATGGCCTGGCTGTTGCAAATGTGCACAGAGAGGGGGGCCTGAGTGAGACTTTGCTGGAGAGTAAATAATGGACCACGTATTGAGACATATAAAGTGACATTCCAAGGTTAAAATAATCTTCCCCTTCAAATTGGCATTGATTGATGCAATGTCTGCGCTCGATCCTGGACTTCAGGGACTCAGCTGGCAGCAGCTCAGTGGTCCTGCAGCCTGGCTTCTGCTGAAGCAGCTGCCCATGGAGCACACGTCCCCAGCAGTCCTAAAGTCCTAAACTAAGAGAACCCTGGGCTCCTTGCCTCGCCCCAGGAATCCTCAAAGGCAAAGGAACTTGGCCCCTGCACAATCGTACAGGAAAACTGTATGGATTTTTCCCCTACAATTTTCCTCATGTCATCAGAGGGCGAGCTCAGGCATATGCAGCCCTCTCCCCTCACTGCACAGATCAAAATGGGCATGGGGAAGAAAGAAAGGAGGGGAGGAACGAGAGACTAAGGGGCTAGGTCGGGAAGACTACTGGAGTGTGTTCACATGTCCTGTTGCCTGCCCACTCGAGGAGGCAAAGAACAAAAGGTGGAAGATTTCCCTCTCCATCACAAAATAATTTGCAAAACAGCTGCTCCCGTTCTGCAAGAGCCTTTGCTGGGAGGCAACAATGAGGAGCCTGTTCTTCCCCTTAAGGAAGATCCACTCACGATCCAGCAAGCTGCTCTGCAATGTCTCAGGGGATTTTAGTAAAAACTTCATTGGCTCTGTCAACTGCTAAGGCTGGCAGCTCCAGAGCCCCTTACAACGGTGTAGATGGGAAAAAAAAAAATGTTATCTGTGGAGGCCAAGTACTGGCGGATTTTACACCTGATGCTGTTTTTAAAGATCTGCATTGAAAATGCCTGCTTGTCTCATCTTCCATCGCCTCACCAGGTGCATCTGCAGAGAATCAGTCTCAGCCGTTGGAGCCCAGAGCTCTGCCTCGCAGCAGCCAGTTCCAGTGTTCCCGTCTCCAAACTGTTGATGCAAAAACCAATTTGCTAGCAAAATAATCTATTCTTCCTTTCAAGTATCAAGTCATAACTTCATTTTAATATCTGCAGACTAGAAAGGGCAGCAAACCTTTCTCTCAAATCAAATATTCAAGGTCTTTCCAGCAGTGAGTTACGCCCGAGGAGGGCGCAGTAATCGAAGGCATCTCTGGAGACGCTAGGGGAAAACCTGCTGGGCCCGGAAGATTCAGAAATAAAATTTAAGTGCTAACATCCTATCTCTCACTCTTTGTGCCCCAGGATCCACTGGCTTTGGGGAACATCATGGACTTAGGCACAAACATATGGGTTTGAGGATCATGGTTTTATTGCAGAGAACCCTGAAATTCTCCTGGGTCCCCCACCGTCCGTGCTCCGCCACACTTGGGGCTGGTGAAATGCTTCCCTGCAGGTAACCGAGAGGTGGACTGAGAGCCAGCCGTAGGTCTTGTTTTCAAGAGAGAACAGCCCTCTTAGGCCACAGAGTATGTTTTAACTTGCTAGGGCTTCTGGAGCGCAGTCCCACAAACTGAGTGGCTTAAACAGCAGAAATTCATTGTCTCACAGCTGTGAAGCCCGGAGTCCAAGACGAAGGTGTTGGCAGGGCCGTGTGCTCTCCGAAGCACCAGGGAGGGTGTGCTCCAGGCCTCCCTTCTGGCTTCTGGTAGTTTCTGTCTCATAGTAGCAGATCTCCGGTATTTGCACGGCATTCTTCCTGTGTGGGTGTCTCTGTGTCCAAACAGTTTTATAAGGACATGGTCATATTGAATTAGGGGTCCACTACTCCATTATGACTTCAACTTAACTAATTACATCTATGAAGATCTTATTTCTAAATAAAGTCACATTCGGAAGTACTGGGGGTTAGGATGTCATCATATGAATTGAGGGGGACGCAATTCAAGCCATAATAGATAACCTGATTTTTCCAGCTTTATGTCCCTTTATGGTTAGTATTTTACATCAAGTTCCCCAGGGGCTAAACTGGAGGATTTTTAATGGCCCCATGTCCTGGGAGGGCGTTCATGTCCTTGGTCTCTTTTATTAGATTGAGCCACAGGAAATTGCTGATATCTGACTCTTTGGAGCCCACAAAAATGGCCATCTCCTATGGTTCAGCCTACACGTGTCCAGGTACATTCCCTTCTTTCCAGAGAATACCGTCTCCAGTCTCCAGGGTAATGAGGGCAGCTGGAGTCTTACCAACTGCCTCACTGTCGGTCCCACAGCTCCGTTCACCATTTCCCACAAGGGAACAAAGGACTTGTCTGACATCCCAGAATTCTTGAAGAGGGCAGGCCGACTGGCACCCCCCACACCACAACCCTCGCCACTTCACTACAGGAACCTCTAAATAAACGCATTCAAAACTGTAAAACTATGATATTTACTCAAAGAAGTTCTAAGAACCCATTCAAATAATGTGGCGCCAAGGTACAAAATGACCTAGTGAAATTAGAATAACATCTGAGGCAGAATGCCAGCTTCCAGAAACACAAGGACTATGTCTTGTCATTTCTGTACAGCCAAGTAATCGTTTGGTGCAATGAGGTTGGAGAAAGCCGAGAAGAGAATCTCACCCGTCAGTAAATAAACGCTACTGAAGTTCAAGTTCAAATCTGCCTTGAGCATTGTTAGCCTAAGGTGGAGAGCCCCTCCAGAGGCCACTGAGGATCCTGGAGTAGGTGGATTTCCTGGCCCAGCTATTGAGTGAAGCAACCATGTGGTGCTCTGCTGGGCAGTAAACGGCGCTGCTGTTTTTCTGGGTGTGAAAGCCGCCAGAAAATCAGGACCCTAGAACAATAGAGTCTATGGACAGAATAATATGGCTTGGTGCTGCAGAGGCATTCCTTGGTCCCAACCACAGCATCTCTGGCACCCTGCGGGTTGTTGGGGGTGAGACGGGGAGGGGCTCTAACCAAGGTGGTCCGCTGTGGCACGCTCTTGGCAGACGCACTTCGGGTGCTGCTCGCTCTGCAAGCCGAGAGCATGGGGCCTCCCAGTCCAAGATCATCTCTGAACAACTCACAGCTCAGACCACAGCGCGTTCCAGCTTCCCCGAAAGTGTCCTGGCACAAGTACAGCCAGGGAGAGATGCCGACGGGCTGTGCACAGATTGGCACCATGTGCAAAGCGACAGCAGTTCAGGAAAGGCCTAAAACTTACCTGCTTCTGTGCAGGCTGCATCCAAGAAACCTACTGTTTTGTAACTGCTGATTCCTTGTGTATGTGTGTTAGAGTTTCATACCTCATTTTCAAATACGTCCTTGCAATAATTTATAGCCCAGGATTTTGAGAGTATAATTTTTATTTTCAATTTGGACATCTCAGATCAAAGGTAAGTAGGAAAAATGAGAGAATATCTGGCACAAAACCAATAGTAACAGCAGTTATAAACTACTTATTTTTAATTGGAGGAGCATGAGTAACATGAACACACAGTTAAAATGTTAAACCATGGCAACAGTGATGTGAGTGGGTACCTCTGTGTAATTTTGTTGTTTAAATGTTTCCGTATTTTTAATTTTTTATAATGTGTATTTTTATCAAAAAAAAACTTTAATGGGAAAAACGCATAAATTAGAATTATTGGTTTATTTATTCAACAAATACGTATTGAATGCTTCCCATATGTGAGGTGCTATGCCAGGCAGGGGCGGCATTCCATTCCAGGTCATCGTGGAACTTACTTTCTAATGTGAGAGGTGCAAAACTTTTTAAACAAACACAAAAATAAAAGTGTTAGTAAGTATTATGAAGGAAAAATACAGTGTCCAGTGAGGAGGTCTGGGAGGGGAACCTGTCCGGAGACACACAGGAGGCTCCGGGAGTGGCTGCCCACCAGACGAGAGGTGAGGACAGGCTGGGGGCCAAGAGGGTGAACTAAGGATCTGGGCCCTTCAGAGGAGCTGAGCGGCCATTAGAGCTGGAACTTCTCAGGGAGAAGAGTGGCCAGGGTGACGCTGGAGAGGGCAGTGGGTTCAGGTCATCGGGATTTCAATGGCTTTCTTAAGGGGTTTTTTTTTTTTTTTTGGTTTTCTTTTTGAGGAAGATTAGCCCTGAGCTAACATCTGCCACCAATCCTCCTCTTTTAGCTGAGGAAGACTGGCCCTGAGCTAACATCATGCCCATCTTCCTCTACTTTATATGTGGGACGCCTACTACAGTATGGCTTGCCAAGTGGTGCCACATCCGTACCGGGGATCCGAACCGGGGAACCCCGGGCTGCTGAAGCAGAACGTGCGAACTTAACTGCTGCGCCACCAGGCCGGCCCCTTTGTTAAGTCTTTGAAGAGGGGAGGTCAGACTGTCTTCTGAAGAGATCTCTCTGACCTTGTGTAGAGAATGTACGTTTGTTGGGGAGTGAGAGTGGATATTAAAGGGCCAATTAGGAGCTACCACAATGATCCTGGCGTGACAGGATGCTGGCTGCCCAGAGCAAAGGTGGGCAGGGTAAAGAGAAGAGATCTTGTGGACAGAGACCACCAGACTGGATGGCTGTGTGTTCTTGAGGTTTAAGGAGGAGAGCGGTGTTAACAACGACACCCAGACTGAAGAAGGGCAAGTTCTGTGGAAGGCAGAGGATGAGTTCAGATTTTCTCTTTCCTTGATGTTTTTCAATTGTAAAATGATATGACCATCAATTTACGAAGTCAAACTGCAGAGATGTATTAGGAAGAAGTTAATTATCATTCTCCCACTTCTGGACTAACGAATGTTAACAGTGTGATATAATTCTCTCATCTTTCTCTTTCATATGTGTGTGTACTTGTATTTTTAAATTCAGTTTTGAACTCGTTGAATGTGAATTTCTTCTAAAATTTACAAGTGAATACAGCAAATGGAAAATTAGATGTATGGGTCAAAACTCAGAGGGGAGAGGTATGCTGAGTTTATAATCATGTCTTTGTGTGGATGATGCCTAAACCACAGGAGTAGAGAAGAGAGGCTGGAGCAAATGTTGAGTCATGAGAGAAGAGAGCCTGGACAGAGTCCTGAGGAGGTCTGACCTTTACCAGCTGGGTGAGGGAGGAGGAGGAGAGGTCAGAGAGAGAGGAAGAAACCGGGAGAGTGAGGTATCAGACAAGTCAAGGGAGTGGAAGCACAGCCAAGTGGTCACTTAATGGCATGTCCATTATACTGGGCAACAAGGATATCGTTAGTCACCTTAGAAAGCCCTTTCAGTGGTGTGGTTGGGGACCAAACAAGGTGGCCAGGCATTCATTTGGAGTGGTGACCATTTGCCCCTGGAGGTGTGATATTTCTCCAGAATCATCTCTGGTGGGCAAAGTCACAGGGAAGATAGATAGGGTCTCCAAAGTTGGAGTTTTTCAGGAATATCTAACAGAAGGTGAGAGAGGCAAAAGCGATTAAAATGGTATCCATAAAAAGCTGTTACAGTACTATTATCTGAGGATATTTTTAAAGTAGGGACTGAATGTGTTAAAAATAAGTGAATTTTTTTATTTTGTTTTATGTTTACTTAGGGAGACTTTGGTGAACATGGAGCTGGTGGCCCAAAAGGAGAGAAGGTAATCAGATTTTCAAAGTGAAGAGAAATGTCCAGGGTTTTACACCAACCCTCGTATCCGCACGTCAGGGGCAGTCCTGCTGTCACCCAGGCTTCACCCACTGGGGAGGCCAGCAGGCTGCAGTGGGCACGGCCTCCACCACCTCCTGACCACACAGCAGGGCTGGAGTCTGCTCCCCGGGGAAGACTGCGGAGTAGCAGTTGGCTGCGAGGAAGGGGCACTCTCAGGGGAAAGAGCTGTAACAGGGTAGTGAAACCAGGACACAGGCTTTGGTCGATAATCAGATGTTCCATGAATCCGTACAGGTGACAAAGACAAACTGAAGACCCCTTTGTGTCTTAAGTGCCCAAACATAAGCTGTCATGAAGCATTTTTTTGGTAGGGTTTTTATAAGGTACGGCCATGGTTTAACCAAATAATTATTTAAAACAGTTTTGAAATTAAAACACTGGTGAATTTCCATTGCATTCTCCCTGTCACCGTTGACAGGTTTAATTGTCTTAGCTGTGGAGATGACAGAATCACTTGCCCGCTCACAAAGGTGTTTCACTCGGGTTTGGTTCTGAAATTGTGATGACCTTGGATTCAGTGTGAATGCACCATTGTCAGGGAAAAGCCCTGGATGTTGAATCTGCAGACAGAGATGACTAGGTCTGAAAATACTCTGAGGGAATGTGGCCTCTGTGTGCTACCTTCATTCACTCACCCAGTAAAAATTCTCTTGATTGAGGGCAGGGTATTTCAACACAAATCCAAGAAAATATGACTTCTGTGTGTTATAAATCAGTGCAGCCAATCTATTCAAAAGAACATACATCTATCGCTAGAAAATACTGCTAGAAATGTCTCAACAGAAGCTAGGAGCTTCTTATAGACTGACCATTGGAAATGAAATTTTCTGCAATATATCAATAAATAAAAACCTTGACATTCTTTGAAAGACATCAAAAAAATTTGATCATACAGCAGTAATAAGTCAATTATGTGTCTTAGATTGTATTGCCAGTACGTTAGCATTGTTTCCTGTAACCAAATAGCTTACAGAATTCCCACACCACATAACGAACATATTACATTTTAAGCAATTACTGCTGGATGCATGCAGACTAAGGTGGGAAAAAAAAGAAAAAGAAAGCCACAAAGCTTGTCACATAGGACAGCTGAGCAAAGAATAGAGTTGTGACACTTTTAAAGTATTTAAGCGATGATTCATTTCTTGAAACAAAACAGCTGGCTTCTGTCTTGCTGTGTTCATTAGGAAACATTTGTTACTTTGGAATTCTTAAGACCTCAATGATGAGAAATTTGATTCTGTAAAACAGGTGTATTTCAAACTCTAAGGACTTTTTCTATTGCTCCAAATCTTTTCTAATTGCTTCAGAATCTTAAGTGGAATTAGAAATAGCCAGTGGCATAACTGTTCCCTCCTCCCACCCAAAGAAACAGTCTGCAAGAGTCTACAGGGCGCTTGATGCAGTAGCTGAGATAAATGTACATATGAAATGATTTGTAAGAATTGTAATTAACAGGAGAAAGACTCTGCCTATAAATAATGCATAAAATAAACTAACAAACACAAGCATAGCACTTGCTGGAAGAGTGACATCACCTCTGCCTGTCCCCATCCACTTAGTTTCTGTTCTGAATCAGTACGTTTGTCTTTTAACTTACAACGCTGTTCATGGGTTGCTGTTGTGAGAATTTTAAGCTCCTGCAAGCTGCTCCCACAGACCTTTGCTTATGCCTGTGGTGGACCCGGGTGGTTCTGAACCCTGGGTGCACACTGGAATTGCCTAGAAAGCTTTTAGAAAACACCATGCTCAAGCTCATCCCCAGAGACTCTGATTTGGGGCGGAGCCCGTATCTCTGATTGATCTGGAGTGGAGTGCATATCACTATTGTTTAAAAGTGCTTCAGAGGATTCTAACAGGCAGCCAGAGTAGAAACCATTGAGTGGGGGAAAGAGCATGGGTTTTGGGGTCAACAGTTGATCGCACCGTTAAGTTGATTGTGGCATTACCAGCTGCGTCTCCTTGGGAAGGCTGCTTCATCTCCCTGAGCATCAGTTTCCTCATCTGTGAAATGGGCCTACTCCTATCCACACAAAGAATTGATGGTAGCATTAAAATCAACTGAGATGAGATGAACTTACCCAAAGGACAATACCTGACACACATTAAGCCCTCACCAAAGATTTATTCTCTTCTATTCGTCCACTCCAAACTTTCTTTCTTCTCCTGAGGTCTCATTTATCTTTTCAGTATTAATTTATAGTTACCATCCTTCACACCTGGTCTTGCTCAACTTTGCATTTCTAACCATAATTATAACAGAGAAGCAACTCAATTTATGTTGTAGCATAAAAGATTTCACCAGAAGTACAATTTCAACACATAAATGGCAGTGATGGCACCAGAGACCACAGCACCACCGGCTCCGTCTGCCAGTACAGAAGTGATGCTCTCTGCTCTGTAGTTGCCTGAGACTGACAGGACGTGGCCGAGGGATGCTGTGCTTGCAAGCTGCTTGAGGAGAACTGCTCCTTTACAGGGACAGTGGAGTAAGGTAGCAGAATATCTTAGGACTCCTGCGAAATTAACAGGTGTCTTTTGGGGCTGACTGTCAGAGGGAGAAGATGGAGCTTCAGCAGCACCAGGCCTTTCAAATGGCTTTGAACGTGTCAAGTTGAAAGACAGCCTTTCCTGATCCTGAGTAAATTCATCACTTGTCTTTCAACACACATGTTCAGTGACTAATCACTGAACATCCATCTTAAACATGTAAAACAACTCCATGTGTGTCTAAGATTCAGGTATAAAATGCTTTTGTTTGCAGAATTTTATGTGAGGGAACTGGTTCCTAAGATTTCCTCCAGGCCCGGTCACACCCAAATACCACTCAGAGAGGTGGACCGAGGCCTCTGTCGGGTCCTTCCTCTGCATTTCAGGGGAGACCTGGTCACATCGGTGCAAGTACATCACAGCTGTGGACATAATTCCTCGTCCTCTGGGTCCGTTCCCCTCCCCTTGGCCTTTGGTACTGGGCAGATGTGATTTTTATGGTAATTTCTAGACCCCTTGCCTGATTTCTACTTTTATTTTGTGCGGATGAGTCTAAGTACTAGGCATATTTTCCCTTCGCGTCTGCGCACTGTGATTTGGCACCTTACCAGACGGGTAACAGCAAGGGCACGCTGCGTACTCTAACGCTCGTACAAGGCCACTTGTCTGTTTCCTCTTTCAAACCAACAGCCATCCTCCCTTAAATGTATCCACCAGTTTCTGCCTCTTCTTACTTTGGATAGAATTTATTATCTCTAGGAAAAAAATGGCTTTTCCTGCAGTGCGGTAAGTATGTGAGTGATGGGACACTAGATGCTTAGATTTTAGAAGGGCAAATATTAATAAAATCAAGATTAAATTTACAAAATATATTCCACAAATCTAGAAGACTTCTTAATAAAAACGTGATCTTGTCTCTCCATTACATATGACAAGCTCCCTCTTCCTCTTGTCTAAAAATCACAAGACACTGATTGGGATAGAAATGTAGAAATGAGCCAACGTTTTTATGATTATGTATAATTTGTACTTGAAGTATTTTGGGTAGACTGTTGTTTGAGGCTGCAAAATAAACAGTTAAACTCCCACACAAGGGGACAGGTATAGAGATGTTTGGGGCAGCCTTGTTTATAACAGAGAGAAGCTGGAGACAATCCAGATGCGCCTTGCCGAGGCGTGGACTAACCCTGCTGCATTAACGTTGCAGAAGGCTGTCCAGCAGGTACAGTGAATGAACTGGACCTATTTGTATCAATAGAGATGGATATTAAAAACAACATTGAGTGGAAAAAAAGTCACAGAGTGTTACACACACGATAAAGCTATTTATGGAATTTGTTTTAAATATCTGGAATAATATATTGTTGATTCTACATATACAGTAAAAGTACAAAAATATAGACTGGAAAGATAAGTACTAAATTCATGAGAGAGGCCCCTTCTGGAGCAGGAATAGAAAGGGAAATAGAGAAGATTTCTTCTTTGATTACAAATTGTTCTATTTTATTTCAGGTGCTTGGAGGTTTGACACACTCGAATTTATGTTTGTTTCTTTGTTTTTGAATAAAAATAGACATGATAGGCAAGAAAGGTATATGCCCAGAAATGCAATGGTTAACATTGTTTTCAAAGATGCTCTTGAGGTTGGAAAAACATCCCAACGTTGCATAAGTTTTAGTGGCTACATTTGATTTAACTATTATGTGCTATTCAGGGATCTTGCTAAATGTGAAAAAGAAGCGCAATGCTGGGACTCCTCTGAAACTGGTTAATGATATATTTCCTTTCTATAAGTATCATTTCTAAAATTGCGTTTTCTCAAAATGCTCTTTACAAGTCACATACAAATTCTCTTCAAGACTTTTGACCAGAACATCTTAGATGTTTCTAAGCTGCTGCTGTCTGGTACCACGTTGGCCAGAATGCCTTCCGTCCGCAGTCGTTCATTCAAGCGCAGTGTCAATGCTGGAAACAGCAACGAGACTCATCTCTCTTCATGTGGCTCCTCACTCCTCCGTCTCCCCCAACCTGGAAAAAAGAGGTGTCTGAAATAAAATGTGTCTGGATGATTGTGTCAGTTAAACAGCGTGATGTCTTCCAGATCACAAAAATTCTTTTTTTTCTGCATGGCAGAGCAAAATTATAGTTTTTTCTCCTCTTGATGTTCTTTCCTTGAAAAAGAATTAACTTTTGTTTCATATTAATTCTAAATATCATAATGGATATTATGGATCCTAAAAGACCTAAAGGCTTTGTGAAGTGCGGACAAACGCATCAACACCTTATTATGCAAATAGTCTAAGTGGATTCAGAACTTCCATTGTCTCTTAGACGTGACAGATGAGTTCGAGGTTGGAGGGGGCACGGCCACCTCTCTGAATCTGATGGCCACAGCAGCACCCGTCCCACCTCACGTCACATCTCTCTTCTGCTTTTTCTTGAAAGGGTGAAACTGGACAACCAGGATTTCCGGGGTCCATTGGCCCTAAAGGTCAAAAGGGAGAATCTGTAAGTATTTTAGCTTTGAGGCAGAGGAAAAATACCCCAAAATAGGCTCAAAAATCCTTTTCCTAATTAGCCCAATTCCACACACCTTTGTTGCCCTGTGTGGCAAACAAGGGTCAATCAGACATTTGAGCAAGTGCTCTATGCGAGGCACTAAGTCCTTGACGAGTATCAACTTACTTAATCCATTAAAAAAAACATGAGGGGCTGGTCCCGTGGCCTAGTGGTTAAGTTCAGCACACCCCACTTTTGCAGCCCAGGTTCAGTTCCTGGGCATGGACCTACACCGCAGACCTACACCACTCGTCAGCAGCCATGCTGTGGCAGCGACCCACGTGCAAAATAGAGGAAGATTGGCACAGATATTAGCTCAGGGAAAATCGTCCTCAGCAAAAAAAAAAAAAAAAAAAACCATATAAGATAGGCTACTCTCACCTCATTCTCCAGATGAGGAAACTGAGGCACAGAGAGGTTAAGTAACTTGCCTAAGCTCACACAGCAAGTAAGTATTGGAGCCATGAATCAGACCTCGGTAGGCTGAGTCTAGAGTTTAAAAAATCACTAAGCTGCCCTGCTATAACTAAACATCATAGCTAAAATGAATAATAAAATCAATATGTCAAAAGAGTGGGGCTAATTTATCCAAAAAATTAGAAACAGTTATCTATCTGCTCAAATAGCTGCTCTTAGTACAGTTTCTGAAGTTATTTTCCCTTCTTGGTTTTTCTAATACCTTAAAAATCAAGTAGATATTTTAGAAACAAGACTGAAAAGCAAGAATATAAATAAAGCGCAGATCTCATCTGTAGAAACTAACCAGTAATAAGATTTAATCATGTTGGCAAGCTGTGGGGCACATTAGTCAGAGTGGGCTAGGTGATGCTGAGTAACAAATGAACCCTGAGATCAACCCAAAGGAGAGTCTCCTGGCTCAAGCCGCATGCCCAGCCTGATTCGGTGGGAGGAGGGGGTGTTGTGCCCCAGACTACGCTCAGTTCCCACCAGGCAGCGATGCTGTCTGGTGTACGCGACCTTCTCAGTCACCACTGCAGAGGAAGCGGGGCTGCAGAACCATGAGTGGGCTTCTTGGACTCAGGCTGCAAGCACACATGTCACTTCTGCTTACTTCCACCACAGGGCTGGCTACGGGGCCCACGTAACTGCGGCAGCTGGAAATGAGGGAGACAAGCGAGCAGAGTCGCTGGCACAGGCGGGGCAGTGCGAGCCTGGGGCTTCCCTTAGGAACACTCACCCCCCGTCAGGGATTTGTTCCAGAGAACGGCAGCCCCTAAGCGGGCCTTGGAGAGTAGTGCTGTCCACCGTAATGGCTCTCACACTTTCTCTTGATTTTCATAAGCAAAATAAATTTTTTTTAAATTTATGGTTTCCATCTTATTGTCAATTCACTCTATTCAAATAATAAATAAATCAAATTGCAAATCAAATCAAACAGACTGAGCAAGCAAAACCTAAGATTGAAGTCAGGCCTCCTGGGTTTAAATCCTGAACAGCCTCTTACTGGCTATGTGACCTTGGGGAAATTGCTTAACTTCTCTGTGCCTCAGTTTCCTCATCTGTAAGTGGCTATACTAATAGCACCTACCCCACTGACACGTGAGGAGTAACTATGTTAATATGCATCAAGTGATTAGAACAGTGCTTGATACATTGTATGAATTCAATCTGTTAGCTATTATTGTTCTATCTGTATGACTTTAAATTCTCCAATTTAATAAACTTTTATTGGGCACCAACAATGTACACCGGAGAGCCTATGATGGTCAAGATGGATTATGTCCCTACATTCACAGAGTTTATAGCCAAGATCAACAAGGAAACATAAAGTGGGTGGATGCTATTTTAGGGGAAATAACTCCAAATTACTCAGAACCTTTCTGAGTCTCTTTCCTCGTGCTTGAAATGGGACAATATCTTCCCCTCAGAACTGCTGGGAAGATTAAATGAGATCGTGTACATGTGACTTCAAGAACAGACGCTGAAAAGAGACAGCCTGTGTGTGTGTGTGTGTGTGTGTGTGTGTGTGTGTGTGTTAAGGTTGAGTTGTGGTGTTAGTGTTACACAGTGACAGTGGGGAGAGTTTTGCTTATAAAGACAGCCCTTCAAAGCTTGTGTCTCTCCCCAGGGCCTTCATACCTAAACCCAACAATAACATTATAGGTTTCACAGACTTGCACTGTTATTCACCCAGTAACTAACCCCTTCATGTCATTTTCATTAAAATAAAAATAAATTTAGTAAAATATTTCCAAAAGAACAATACTGAGTTTTTAGGCACTAATTTAAACTCTGACTACTTTTAAACGCCAGCTTAACTAATGGGGAGGATCAAGTGAATGTCCTCCACCTGTCTCTCTGTTGTCCTCACACCCGTTCTGCCTGTGTGATGATCTACGTAATCTGTGCAAAGGAAGCTTTGGCCCCGGGCAACGTTCTAATTTGTCAACCACTCAGGATTCTCCAGAGAGCATTTGAGTGATTAACATTGTTCATTTGGGAATAAGCAAGAGTTTTTGAGTTAGGTCTCACGTGCTCCCTTTAAGCTGCCCAGGCAGACTTGTGGCGTTCTGCATCATTTGAGAGGCTTGTTTGCGATGGAGGTCTGTCTGAGTCTGTCCTGCAGGATACGTCCACACCCAGTTTGGAGAGTTTATTTCCAAAAGTGTTTATAATTGATTCTGTTTCTACCCATTTTCCTAGGGGGAACCTTTCCTCAAAGGTGAAAAGGGAGACAGAGTAAGTAGATGCTTTATCGCTCTGCGCGGGTTTCTGCTTTGCTAATTTCTTCTGATCTGATTCTGCTGTGTTTACTGTGGAGTCCAACAGATTTGATAAAATAAGCTCCCTGATCATTGTACTTTTCCTCCATGAATTTTGACTCTTTTATTTTGATAAATGTTAACCTTGTTAAGTTGTGTTATGTGATGATGTTTAACATTTGGTTTGGGTAGTATATCTTTTCTTTAACCAATTACTATCAGTAATTGAATCTGAATATTAGGAAAAATATCCCCTTAGGATATCTAAAATACAAAATTAAAATACAAAGTACAGTTTTTTCAAAAATTCTGTTAAAAATACAAATTGGATTTGTCGAACAGGATGATTTTATCAAAAGGGTCAATAATAAGTCATGAAAAATAAGAAAGACAGACTCATTATAGCCAATATTGTCCTCTTTTGTATAATTTAATTTTTTTCTGTTTTTTTTTTTCATGAAATACATATACAGTCATCCCCCCTTGTCCTCAGGGAATATGTTCCAAGATCCCCAGTGGATGCCTGAAACTATGGACAGTACTGAACCCTATATATACTAGGTTTTTTCTATACGTACCTGTGATAAAGTTTAACTTATAAATTAGACACAATAAGAGATTTACAGCAATAACATAATAGGACAATTATAACAATATACTATAATAAGTTACCATAGAGCTTAGCAACCTCAGCATAGAATTTTTTTTCTTTTCTTTAGAAATTTCACCTTTTCACTTAAAGGAAGCATTTTAGGCTTCTCTTTGGCATATCTGAATTGCCAACATCACTGCTCTTGTGCTTTGGGGCCATTATTAAGGAAAATAAGGGTGACTTGAACACAAGCACTGCAATACTATGACAGTCGATCTGATAACCAAGATGGCTGTTAAGTGACTCCTGGGCGGGTGGGGTGTACAGCGTGGATCTGCTGGACAAAGAGATGAGCCACATCCCGGGAGGATGGAGCTGGATGGCACAAGATTTCATCATGCTACTTATGAATTATTTCTGGCATTTTCCATTTGATATTTTCAGGCTGTGGTTGACTGCAAGTAACTGAAACCCTGGAAAGCAAAACCTCAAATAAGGGGGATCACTGTACCTGTTAGGTGGAATTCCCATGACATAGAAACTTCAGCTCTACTCTTTCTTTCCCGTCTCATCTAAAGTCTTAATACTCTGAGATGTAAGATCAGCTGGCAGCAAATCCTAACCATGCCAGCTAAGCAGAGAATGCAGTGATTGCTAATCAAACGTGGTGATTAGTGTCAGAAGTGATGCTAGAGAAAAAACTGTTAGAAAGCAGAAAGAAAATAAGAAATTATTGTTTATTAGCAATAAGTATTTTAAATCATGTTTTAGAATGAACCCTCCTTGACTTCATCATGTCTTCCATAATTACCCCCTTTGTTGTATTTTAATTAGTGGAAATTCAAATGAATTCAAGTATTAGAGTTGCTCATCGCCATCTGAACTTAAGCGTTACATATATGGTGATTATTTTACTTACAGGGAGAACCTGGGATAGTTGGATCACAGGGAATAAAGGTAAGCTCCTGAACTTCCTTGAATTGCATTTCCAACCAAATGACACTGAAAACGAAAGCAACCGTTTCACTTTCCTTCCCACCGGTGTGTTTAGGGTGAACCTGGAGATCCTGGTCCCCCCGGTTTATCAGGAAGCCCAGGACTAAAGGTATGGAAGAAATAACTGAGATGAATTAGGAAATGATTTTGAAGTTATAGCCATTTTTAGGTAAAACCAGGTGCTCTGGGGTGCCACCCATTTTCTTCACAAGTGTTCTCAGAGACTTCATGTTTCCATGGTGATGTTTCCCCCATTGGCTGCATTTATTACACACATAGTAACTGCCTTTTAGTTCACAATAGGAATTTTAAAGTCTTTTTCAGAGCATATTCACAATAGCATCCCTAAAAGCTTTGAGAGTAAACAATGTGAGCTAGATCTGTGACCCTGAGCTCTGTTCTTAAAGTGAGCAGGATTCGGGATTCAATTTCTAAGCCCATATTATGCAGCCCTGAGATGCTTGAGTTCCCCACGTGGGATTCCACAGGAGTGTCCCGAGAAAGACCAGCTGTGGGGAGGTGCAGGCGAGATTAACGTGATGCGCTCCAGGCCTCACCTGCTGGTGAGAAGAGACCCATTTAAATGATAACATCTTGAAACTACGTTTGTAAGCCCAAAACACATTTCAGTATTATAACAGAGAAGGTAGGGTGGTGGAAAGCCAATCTTTCTCATATAAAGTTCGCAGCACGTTTTACATGTATTCGGATACATTCTATTTTTTAGCAAAGTTAAAGCACGTATCACTTCTGTTTTAGGGTCAGCAAGGACCTGCAGGTTCTATGGGACCCAGAGGACCACCAGGAGACATTGTATGTATAGTAGATACAGGTGTCGTTGATATTTGAAAATTAAATTGAGACTGAGACGTGTTTTAAAGAGTGTAACATCTGTTCATGGGACTGAGTTATACCACAATTCCAGAGACATGGATCATCTCTATAACTAAAACTGACCACACCTGATGTCAGGAGCTACTGGGAAGCTAGTACCTTCATATAGTCATGTGATGTCCTTTTGGACATCAGCCTTACAAATCAGCCTTTGGAACTCAAGTTAAGTAAATAATCATCCTGGACATGCTTGTCAGTGATGTGCTAATGGTAGAGGAGAATGAAAACATCAAAACAAATGAGGAAAACCGAGAGAGAAAGCAAGGCTTTGCCTTTTGGTTCAATTCTCTATCCAAGAAAGACACTTGCACAGCTTCTCTTGTTGCTTTCTTGAAAGAGCCTCCAAGAAGAGCAGGTCTTTTGTTTGAAAATATTTCTATAATGCAATTGGAGAAAGGTCCTCAGGTTGTATTATAACCTAGTTTTAGTGGACTCACTCCTCCCATCCACCCTCCACCCACACACACACCCTCACACCCTTTAAATGCACTTCTCTCTCTATCCCCTAGGCCAGCCTTTTGTCCCTTGGACAACCTTCCTAGCTGTTTGACAACTTGGGAGCTAAGACTCACCGTCAGTCCACATGAGCAAAACAAGAAAAATGCTTGGCCATAGCTTCTTGGAGACTAATTTCTGTCCGGCCACAATTCAGGAACCCTCTATGCAACTGTTAGAATCTCTCCTGTTCCCGTCCTCTCGGGAGCAGCTCCCTGACCTCTTGCTCTGTTCTCCAAGCCCCCTGACTTAGCCTCCAGCGGTCTGTCTTTCAGTGCACTTGGTCTCCTTGGTACTTTGAGCATTTGGTTCATAGAACAAAGCTTTTTGTTGCTCCCTCTAAGCCACTTAGTGAGGCCCCGCAGGTGTACGTCCTGGAGAGATCTTACAAAAAGAAAGACAATGCCAGCTGCACAGAAGGAGCCAAAAGATGCCCAAGAAATGAGATTAAGTGATAGTAGCTGGAGCTAAAAAAGAGAATAAAATCCAAAGGGAAGGAGCCACTGTTGCCAGAACATCATAAAAGCCTGTTTTCCTGTCTACTCCACTGTCCTGAATCGTGATTCTACCAACCACCATCCTTCCACCCCTTCCTGGCAATGATATGGATGGGGCATTGGGTTCAATTCTCCTTGATTTAGTTTCTTTCCCATTATATCTACGTCGCTTCACTTGAGACAACAAGCCACATATTTACACTAATGTTTTTCCCTAATAGGCCAAAATCAACGCTTCCCCATATAGTTTGTATATTAAAATTCCATTCTGCGGACAAAGACCCACAGATACAAGTGTTATTCTAATGGCTCTTTTCCTTTAATTCTGAATTTTCTAGGGATTGCCAGGAGACCACGGTATCCCGGGAAAACAAGGCATCAAAGGAGAAAAGGTATAGTTTCCATTTTACTCTTTCATGTATTAGGTAGCGGTAGGATGAGAGACAGAGGGTCATAGGGCATGGAGGAGTGACAGGCCAGGACAGGCAGCCAGGACTGCGTGGGGGACGGACAATCCCATAAACCACAGTGTGGATGGCACCCCCTGCAGTTGCGCATCGTGGCAGCCCCAGTTCTGTCATAGAAACACAACGTGACCAAAGGAACTGAGGTAGACATGAAGATCTCAGCACTCGGAAAGTGGGCTTCAGGCTCTGCTCAACTGTAGTATAGACCCGAGAAGTCTCTTAATCTGTCAGGACCTGTTTCTTGAGGTCTACGTGGAAATAGTATATTAATACTGGACCATTATTGGGAAATAAGAAAACATGAAGATCATCTAAAGAACTTTATGAATAGATGTGCCCTTTTGTGCATATATTTATACATGTGCATATGATTTGTGATGCTGCTAACCTTATGGAAATGTAACTCGCTGCAGAGTCTCAAAGCGTTTAGGGTAACTAGAACAGTGCTGGCCTGAGTTAGGCTCTCAGTAAACATTGTTGAATGAGCGAATGAATGAATGAATGATTGAATGAAGGGAGAATGAAGTTCGACTGGCTGTGATGACAACTTGAAACAACGCGAACTACTGCCTCCTCACCTCCTACCTTGGACTTAGCAATGAAGTGAGGGTCTTGCCTTGTTTTCCCCAGGGAGATCCAGGTGGGATTGTGGGCCCTCCCGGGCTTCCAGGTCCGAAAGGTGAGGCTGGGCCTCCAGGGAACAGCCTGCCTGGCGAACCAGTAAGTACCAGCTCTTTTACAAATCTTTCGCCTGAAAGGTCATTGATTACAGTCTACGTGTTCCTGGTTGCAGATCACAAGTATAAGTTTAGCTTTGCAGAAAAAGAAATACTCGTCTTATTTAGATCAGAGATCTAACATCTTTGGAAATTTGGTGCAAGCAAAGGGCTCTCTTCTGAAGAAAATGCACCTACGCACACCATTTTACATGCGATTTGGAAGACTTAGGCCCCGCGGAATCTTCTGCGTGGATTCTTTATGGATCTACGGAGCCGAGTAAGAGGCACTGGTTTTAAACCACGAGCCTTCTGAGGACACCGTCTTGAAACAGAACTGCCCGAAGTTTCCCTTCCAGAGGCTCTGCCGATACGGCCATAGGCAGCCATCTGCAGAATATCCTTGTGGCCTGGGCTATTCCCAGGACGTAGAAAACTGGATTATCTGGAAAATCTAAATAATCAACATGCCAGTCTCATATACCCTTTTTTCTCATCCCCTTTGACCTTTTGTATTAATTAATAATGATAAAATAATTCTCAATATCAGATGCCTCATTTTAAAGATTAAAAACATATTTTAAAGTAACTATATAAAATTTATAACCCATTGCAATTTGTATTCCCTGTTCCTTATTCTTATGCAAAAAAAAAGGCGTATTAAAGTAAGAGGAAGAGCAATGAAACATTTTTGAATGAATTCTAAGATGTTCTTAACCTTTTTAGAAAAAGAAATGTATTTGCCTCCCTTTTGTCTTTCTAGGGATTAGACGGAAATCCTGGAGCGCCTGGTCCACGTGGGCCAAAGGTACAAAAACACCACAGAAATGTTTAAATAATTAATCATTAATATAGTCAGCAACTGTGTGTCCCTTGAGCCTTGCACTAACAGAAGCATCTCATTGCACAGGGCGAGAGAGGCCTGCCCGGTGTCCATGGGTCCCCAGGTGAGGCTGGCCCTCCAGGGGTAGGAATTCCTGGCCGAACGGTAAGTGAAATTCCATCGAATCTTGAAACCCTGTTGATTCCAACATTGTGAAACAAAATCCAGTGACAAATTTGAATAAGGAGAAAAGAGTAAAAAGGTCAGGGGAGGAAATGCACATTAATAATCGTCAGAGGGGGAGAATCAGTGGGCACTGAGGTGACACCACCTAGCAGAGAGGGTGCTCACTGGTCCATCACTTACAGACGCTCATCACACCTGCACTGACTGTGGGATCAGAGCAGTTATTCAACCCTTTATGCCCCTATTCTATATGTTAAAAGTACAAACACATGTTTGTACAATACAAGAGTATAAGCATACCTAATATCAGGTTGTTATGTATTACTATTTGTTTTTAAGCGGGATACAGTAAGAAGTTAGTATTTCACGAGATGGTATAAAAATCTCTAGGTGATGTCTTAAAGAAGAGAGAATAGAAGGTGTTTTGAATGGTTGAAACAAATAATGGACAGTTTTTTGATCTGTTTTAGCTATTAGGACAGAGCCTAGAACAGTGCCTGATAATAATGACCACATGTACACACTTGTTGACTAAATGGCAATGAGAGATAAATTTTCTTATTTAGTACAAAGAAACATAAAAGACTTTGGGACAAGAGAAGTGGAAATACGTGGTTATTTTAATGACGTTGATTGGGAAGTTGGCCTTGTCATGAAATTATCATGACACTTAAAAGAAGGTGTCAGTAGTGATTGGGCATGTTGTGTGGACGGGTATTTGATTTTCCAGAATCAAGAATATAAAAGACACTGGAGATGGGAGATGAAATGAGGTAAAAATTAGATCAGGAAATTATTAGAGGAGGGAAGAAGGTAAAGCAAAAAACCTTTTTAGGAAATAACTGAAGGACAGTATAAATAGAAAGGGAGCAAAAAGTAGCTTTGACAATACGAATGATATGAGCATTTATTTCAAAAACTAGAAAGGAAAAGTCTGGAGCAGTTAGTGAAGGCAGCTGCTGGGAGACCGGCTGGCCGCTGCGGTTGGGGCTCCGTGGCTGTGTAACAGGGACAGAGCTACAACCTTAGGTTCACTGATCGGCTCCCAGCCCCGTTTTGTTACCCACATCCCAAGCTTCTAAAGTAGCAAAGAGTGACTGACTGATGTTTACTTCCTATTCCTGTCAGTGAATACTGGTTTTAGCAATTTCTTCAAACAGAAAAAGTAGAAAGCCAAACGGAAAGGAACCCTGAGCCAGTTACCCAGGTGGTCAGTTTCTGAACAGATAGAATTGGGATGTGCTGTCTGTGTGCTCGTGAAGGGGCAGGGACAGATAATGGTCATGAGAGGCACATCCCAGGTACCTGAGCAGAGTCACGTTGATGTTTCCAGCAACAGGCATCTGCTGCAGGGCTCACCTGCCACCCGAAAGTCGTGGTTGACGTTGCAGGGTGTTCTCAGGGTGTGCGTGGTGGCAAGCCCTGTTGTGCCACTAAAGTGAATTACAATACTCAGCTCTTTATCCCACTTGGGTAGTTTGTGGACATTCCTGCCAGGATTCTCATCCTTGAATCTCTTTCTACTCAGGGCTCCCAAGGACCAGCTGGAGAGCCAGGCATTCAGGTAATCTATTTCGCCAGGTTATTTGGCACAGCAAATCCAGCTTGCTTTCTTGGAGGAAATTATCGAAAGACTGTCCTCATAAGTAACTATTTCCCCCTTTTCCAGGGTCCTCGAGGTCTCCCTGGGTTGCCAGGAGCTCCAGGGACCCCCGGGAATGATGTAAGGACCATCTCTACCTACCCCCACCCCCATTTTAATCTGCACCTGTGCCGAAGTGCAAAGATTTGAACACAATGCTTCTGTTTTCAGGGAGCTCCAGGGAGGGATGGAAAGCCAGGCCTGCCAGGCCCCCCAGGTGACCCGGTATGTCGACAGACTAAGCTTGATCTATGCATCTTTAATGCACCCAGAAGCCAACAGCCTACCGAGCAAGTTTTGCTGCCCAGGCTAATTAGAATTCTTAGTGACTGCTTGGCGATTTTGTTTATCCCCATTATTTTGTAGAGGAAAAAAATTCCAGCTGTGTCAGCATTTTTGTGTGTGTGATGAATCCTTATTTCCTAAGGGTAGAATTCAGTGTACAATTATGCCCCGGGCTGAGCCTTGGCGTATAATGTCTCAATCCCATGGAAAATTGACTTAAAATATATAGCCACAATTTCTATCCTTTCTCATGCTAACGGCCAAATGAATTTCATTGTTCTGGATGAAGTTTTGTAGGTAGGTTGCCTACAGTAAGGTCCATAGCCCTTGATTCTGTGCCTTGAAAACGCTGATGTAATTAAATTACAAAAACTGGCTTGAGTCAGCTCTTTAAAAAACGGGTTTAGGCGCTAAATGTGTGTCCCAAAGTTTTATTTTAGGTTGAACCTTGCTTTGTGCGACAGTGAGATCCCATTAAATAGCGTAAGAATCAGCACTTATGACTTGAGAGGCCATATGGTACATGACATTGTATGAAGAATTTTGTATAGTAAAACCCAAATCTGGCCTCTCAGTTCTCACCCTCACAAATCCTCCACCTCCCACCCGGTCTGGGCCTTCTGTGTCCCTATAAGCCACGGGCAGGGGCGTGTTTCAAAACGGCCCTGCTTTCACTCCATCGCTGAGTGAATCCTGTGGGCAGCGTCCGGGAATCTTGTATGTAAGGCATTCCTTGGGTTGACAGTGTCTCTGAACGACCTTTTAAGACACGAGGCCGAAACACTGCCCCGGTTCCCTAGGTTTGCACCTCACCCGTCACGTCAGCACCTACAGGCTCTTTTGAACTTAAGAGAAATAACTTGAAGGTAAACTCATCCTGTACTTTTCATATTTCTCAGCAGTCTGATAATTTGCTTGACAGAGAAGTGGTTCCCTTCGAATAAATGATTTACCTTTACGTATTATTTAAAACCAATATACTAGGGTTGGCATAGAGGTCACCATGTCCTGAGAAGATAAAAGTAGAGCCGCAAAATCAAAACAGCAATATGCGTGTGTTTGTGTGTTCACAGGAGAGGAATAGCAAATATTTATAAACTCTGTCAGTCTCATGTGTCCATTTCTTGATCTGAAACATAATGTTAGGCCAACCATTCTGAAAGTGAGGCTCTAAGACAAATCTCAGCTGGCCTGGCATTTTGAGGAAAAATATCCCCCTTGTATTGTATGTATGCATCGTATCATGTGCATAAATGTTAAGTATTTGGTTTTTCTCCCTAATCGCAGATTGCGCTGCCCCTCTTGGGAGACATCGGCGCTTTGCTTAAGGTACTCTGTTGCTATGTCAGAAATTATGTGTTAATTTCCAGGAAAAAGCAGACAGGAAATCTTTACCAGAAATTGAGTTGATTGCTTAGCCCCAAACCAAACTTCAATTTTTAAATGGCAAAACATCTTTAAGATAGAAAAAGGAACGTGTATCTGCACATGTCTTGTGCAGTTTATACTGGTCCCTCCCCTCTCTTCTTTCTCTCCTCTCATTTGGGGTGTGGAGGGGTGGGGGCAGGGGGGCAGTTCTAGGATGAGCTGCAGGGAAGGACGGGTCACTGACTCCCTGCAATCAGTTATTCTCTCTGGAGAAAGAGCTTTCTCTTAACGGGTGTTTACTGCCCCTGGCTCACCACTGTGAAACCCAATCCTTCTCATTGTATCTGCCCTGGCCAGTCCCAGGATGAAAACCAGCGCTGCTCAATAAACAGCTGGCTTACAAAGCTGACTTTGACGTCACGGGACTTTACAAAGTGAGCTACAAAATTCCAGAGCCAGCAATTGGCCTAACACCTGTTACCCTGCTAAGTAAACATTATCTTCCCCTATTATCCATCTCATAGCAAATTAATCTTGCTGCCATTTTTTTCTCTAATATTTCCCTATATTTTATTTGTAAAACAGATGGTTGAGAATAATAATGGTACACCTGTGAGGTTGTGTGTTTGCATGTTTCTTCATGGTATGCTAAGATTGAACGAACCCAGATAAAAACCTGCGCCTTTACTTTATACTCAAACTTTAAGTGTCTTGTCTGTGAATGGACGGCGTATATGTGTGTGCACACACACCCCCCCTCAGGCTGTAGGCGTGTGTATGTGGTTTATCTTATATTCCTAGCATTTAGCCCGATGCTTTGTGCAATGAGTTGCATAATAGCGGGCAGGTAGGAATATTTGTGGAATTGAATTCAAAAGACTCAAGAATTCTAATATGTATTTGTTAAGTGATTAAAGTTCTGAGAATAAATATAAATGTAAATATGAATATGAAAGTAAAAGATATTAGAGGTTTTTAAGACCTGCAAAAGCCAACATTTTCTTAGAAGTTGGAGGGGAATATTCATGAGGGTTTCAGAAAGATCTCATGTTTATTGAGCTACAGTTCCGTGCAGGGCAACGCGCTGCATAATCTCACTGAATCCTCACAGTGACTCTGTGCATTTGGGCTGCGGTGCTTTCCCCATCCTGTACATGAGGGACTGAAGTTCCGAGCAGTTAGGTAACTTGCTCAGAGCCACACAGCTAGTTAAGTATGACATTAACACAGAAACACGGGTCCTCAGACCTTAAGTCTCAGGTTCTTTACAAGGGCAGTAGTGTTGGAAATGGCAGGATTGTAGGCGTTATTTCATTCCAGAATTATTAGGATTCTTTACTCTAAGGATCAAAAACTTACACTTAAGCAGAAGTGAGTCCCAATAGAGCATGCAGGGGCTCACAGAACAGACAAGAAGATTATGAAGAGCCTCTGACAGGGTGATGGGGCCGGGGCTCCGGGTCTCAGAAGGAGGTAATTGGTGGTTTCACCGGGGCAGCATCTCTCTAAGGAACGCGCCCAGCCGCTGTTCCCATCCCCCCGTCATCTCACGGAGGTTCTGAGTTCCAGGAGAACCGACTGGCGAGAGGTGGGCAGGCCCCCAACACGCTGTATTCAACAGGAGGGGAAGCATGTCGTTTCCAAAGCAAAATCGAAATACAGGAATTTAGATTGGGGATTGGATCTATGACCAAGCTAGTGATGTCTTTAAATCCTTGTCCTGTTACCCAACACATTGACTTTCTCTCTGTCTTGAGTCTTTAGCAAACTTGATCCTCCTGCTTTCTGTTTTCAAAAATATCTTTGATTAAAGTGTTGAAAAGAACTGACATAATTCCAGACCCAAATGATATCCCTTCCAAACTTTTCTCTAGGTTGATCTGTGCATCAATCCCTCTCTGAATGAGATTGTGCGTTGGCTAATAATTGACGCATATTTGTTCTCTCCATAAGAAAATCTTAACACTTCTTCTTCAAGAGCTTCAGTGAAGTCCAGTTTCCCTTAATTTACCATTCTGGTAACCCTAACCTAAAGAAAATGAGGCCAGTTTGAAATGGCTCTTAGAACATTCTATCGATTCCTAATGATTACCATTTTTAATGTCTTCTTGAAACAATCAATTGATGGCGCAGCAGTTAAGTTCTCACGTTCCGCTTTTCGGCGGCCCGGGGTTCGCCAGTTCGGATCCCGGGTGTGGACATGGCACCGCTTGGCAAAAGCCATGCTGTGGTAGGCGTCCCACATATAAAGTAGAGGAAGATGGTCATGGATGTTAGCTCAGGGCCAATCTTCCTCAGCAAAAAGAGGAGGATTGGCAGTAGTTAGCTCAGGGCTAATCTTCCTCAAAAAATAAAAATAAATAAATAATAAATATTTAAAAACAAAAAGAATAATCCATTCTAAAATGTTGGTATATATTGACATGACAAAGTTTTGCTCCATATTGATATGCCACATTTACATGTCTACAGACACAATAATTCATCTTCTTTACACTTTTTGAAATGTGGAAACCTATTTAGTTCTCTTAGGTCCTCAGGCATCTCTCTATCTTCACAGTTTTTCAGATATTATAAGTGATGGTTTCTACAATTCTATGTGTATTTTTTTAACTCCCCTACCAATACATTAGCTCTGTGAAATGATCCTAGTGGTAAAACTGGTTTGGGAAATATGCACATTCCAGCACTCTTACATATTCCAACTCTAAGAAGGACCCTGTGAAGAGAACTCTTAAACCCAGCATTTTGCAGACAAATTGCCTCAGAACCTTTTCAATATCATACAAAATTAGTCTTTCAAGGAGCATTCTTGGAAGTCAGACTTATGGTGATACTCACTGTGTAAAAAGCACTGAACTTGAACAGCCGTGGGCTTTCCTGCTAACCTCTCACCAGTAGCCAGCTTCAGTTCCCTTTTCCTGCTTAAGGATTCTTCCCCTGGGTGAAAAGGATGGAAGAATAGAGGCTTATACTATCTCCCCTTCTGTCGACTGTTCAAATTAAACCATTTAGCCCACTCCATGGTCCCTAATCCATGCCTTTCCTGATCATATTCTTATTGTAACGATTTACTTAAAAATAAGCCTTTATAGGGCTTTTCAAGACACTTTTTCTTTATCTCTGTGGTAAGAAGTTTATCTTGTGAGCTCAGACACTTAAATTCAAGCCATTCCAGATCGACTAAAGGTTACAGAGAAGGCAATGGAAAGGTAATTCCACTTAGATTTTCTCCCTGCACTTGGATTTGACACAGAAGCCTGGCCAAGTCACTGAAGTAATTATTTCCCACACGGGTGCTTCCACCGAGAAATAAAATGTTAATAACTGTGTATAGGGCCCTCCAACTAATTTTGCTCTCAAAAGAAGAAATCCTTCCTTCTCAGCTTGTTCTTTCTCTTCTGATGATTCATGCTATTGGCTGTACCAGCTCTGTAATCTTGCTGGTTATTCCAGACGGTATTACCTCCTTTTTGAAACTTGCTAGTAAGCAGCTGAAACTCAGTCTGCATTCTTATGTATCTTTTCCTTATTTATTTGGAATTTTCAAGTTAAATGTCATCATAGACACATTTTTACAATAGAAGCTCACCAATATCATAAACAAATATCATTGATCAGCTTCATAAATAGTTTGACCTCATAAAAAGAAGTCTTTTCAAGTTGGACAAATCAGGTTTCTGAAAGTAGAGTGACATAGCGATGCCATATGGCTCATCTCTGACCAAGGTTTGAGTAGAACTTCAGGTCTTTTAAACCTCACCTTTTTTAGATGACTTTGGTGAATCTCTCAGGAACCTTATCTTTATACTCCTTAGAACTTCTGTGGCAACTGCCACACCAGCGTCCCTGGGCTGAAAAGCAACAAAGGAGAAGAAGGAGACGCTGGAGAGCCTGGGAAGTACGACTTCGCGGCCCGGAAGGTAGGCAGGCGGCCGGTGCTGGGGGCCCATCGGTCACCCAGGTGCCTTCTCTCACTCGTTGCTGCTCTGTCCTCTAGGTGGACGCAGGGCCCCGTGGTCCTCCAGGAATCCCAGGCAGAGAAGGACCAAAGGTAAGGAAATCTCTCCTCCACTCTCCTCTGTGCGACCTTCAGTTCAGTGTGATAAAAGGAAATCCGTTTTGTAATACACTATTTTTTCTAAAAATATTTTGGAAAAGTGGTGTAAAAGCCATTTGCAAATGTCATTTATTTGTTTCCTGACTCTGTCCAAATGTCACGCCCCAAGTGTCCTGAGAAGAGAGATTTTCGTCGTTTCGAAAGATGACAAAATGGTCGCGCGTACTCGCTGAATTTATTGTCTTTTTTAGGGCAGCAAAGGAGAGCGGGGCTACCCTGGGATGCCTGGGGAGAAAGGCGACGAGGTAAAAGGGGCTTCTCGGATGATATCGTTCTATCGGTTCTCTTTAGTGCCTCAACAGGGGAAGCACACCAGTGTTCAGCGCTAAAACATATAAAAACAGAGACTTAAGTAGGTTTTTTCAAGTGTTAACCCATTTTGAATAATATGTTGATGTTTATTATCAGTGGTGCAGTTTTTGAGATGAAGACACCAGACAACTTTTGAGACAAAGTTAACGTGTCAGTTACTGAGTTTCTGTTTTTACGTAGTAGAAAGCAGTTCCAGCTTTCTCACGATAGAAGCAAGGGGCTGGAGGAAGGAGAGGTTTACAGAAAGATTCCCAAGGTGGCTAGCAGAACTGAAGGAATAGCCTTCAATTCTATCCAATCCAGCCTAGGGCAGCTCCAGACCTCAGTAGAACTCCGCTGGGCCCCTGCTGTAACATGGCGCAGCTTCGTGACCTTGGCTTGTCTGTGTCTCTGCTCAACTTTCAAACTATGGAGAGAAAAACAAAACAAAAAAAAATCGGAAGGATCTGATTGGACTAGCTTAGATCAGCTGCCAACCCCGGGCTAAGGTTCAAAATCAAATGTGCTTTTGAGACATTGGTACAACTTTCTGACTCTAAGCCATGCTGATGCTGAGGGTATCATTCTTTTCCTGCATAATTCACCTTAACTCTTAGAAAAACCAATTAGGATGACAAATTGTTGTTAGTTTAAACAGTTTTGATACTAATAATTCTTAATGAAAGTAAGTAAGCCATCTGGCATATATTAACCTTGAAGTTAGTGCAGAAAATCATGACAGTATCAAGGAGAAAATCTTTTAGTTGGAATTATATCTTGCGTTATAAATTATCATGTGTTATTTTTTTTAACTACTATTGATTCTGTTCTAGAAAATCATGAAGATTGGCTTATTTTCTTTCCAAGTTAATAATCAAAGAACAAAGAAATACAACATTTTCATCCATAAATAAAACAGTAAAGGTGTTTTATTTTCACAATAAATGAGTTATAGAAATTTTGCTTTTTCACACTCCACAGAAATTTCAATAAAGTACAAGCACAGTATCTGATTTTAATAGTCTAACAGCTTTTAACTGCCCAGATTCAAGAGAGAAATTTTAGAGGCAATTGAGACGATAATAACAAAAAATCAGGAAATAATTGGACTTCAGGTTTTTTTATAAGTGACTCCAAGTTAAATGTATTAGAAGTTAATTTTTATTGATTCTATGGGATACTTTGCTCTCTTAGTGAACTGAAATCCATCGTTTTTATCCCTCCGCTATTTTAGTGTGCTCTTTATGGATTCTTTAACACAGCATACCCAAAATTTTGCACAGAACTCGTTATGTGGGGATTTCCAGCAAGTTCAGAGGGAGATTCTTCAGTTGTTTCTTCAGATCACATGGATGATATGAATAAGCCTGAAGGGCCCACTAGCTCAGTTGGCCTTTTGTGGGGAATGGCGCGATGCAGCTTCTCCCTCTCAGACAGTGGGAAGGAGTGAATATCATCTTGTCTGCTACCTGGACCACCTGAAATTACTATTTGCTGATGTATTTAAGCAAATGAATCTTTGACCAAGAACATATGCATTTCCAACTGGCCAATCAACCATACTATTTTGATATGTACATGAGATCTAATTGAACAAAATCTCAAATGTCTGTTCTACTCTTGGTAAACAGATACAAGGAGCACCATCTCTGAGGACTTCTATAATGTCTTCAGTTTAATCCCTTTGGGAACTTAGAGAGAGGACCTGCCTGTTGCTCATTGCTCTTAGAAATGTGATGTTATCCTCTACATTTTTTGCAACATGTTTTACAACTCAAAGTAGCAACCTGTAAGATGCTAAAGAGCCCAGACTCGCCTCTCATAGTTAGAGTGAATTCTTGCTTGGAATGCAGGTCTTCCTGCAATATTTCAGGATAATAATTGATAAATGGGACATGAAAAATATTGTCAGCCATAAATTATAGCAATGGAAAAATAAATATTCTTAGTTGCAACTGAGCTAAGACTTGCAAAATCAAAATATCAGAGCAGGGAAAGAACTTAGCTCGAATGATCCCTGACTATCTATGCAATAAATTTTAATTTGTGTTTTAGTTTGGCACTATATGCTAAATTGACCATCCTCCTCTTTAATATGTATTTGTCTTCTTTAATGGCTATCTTGTCTTCTAAAATTATCTTATTGCCCTTTATGCATCCGTAGTAACTTTTACCCTCACTACAAAATTTCAGCTTGTTCAGAGAAAGACTGCTGAGGGTGACTTTTTTTTTTATTTATGGACTGAGGTTTATTTCAAAGTTTAATGTGGACATCAAAGGTTAATGAGTCCCAAGCTTATAAATTAGACTATCTAAAGACTCACTCAGCATCTCTAGACTGATTCAATGTTGAGACTAAAAGTAGCAAAGAAAGACTACATATGGACAAACATATCTTATACATGTACATAGAGAGAGAATTTTATGGAGATGTGGGTATTTTGAGATAAAGCAATTTGTGGTATAGCGTTTATAATCTCCAGACATTTAGAGATGCCATTCCCAAAGGAAATTTGTTTCCTTTACACTTATAAATCCATAACCAAGTTAATGGTGGGGGAATAAAAAGATTCAATAAGACATGGTAACGTGTACAGTGCATGTGCACACATACACACCACAGCATTGTCAGTGAGGATGACGTCATCTTGAAGAAAGAATATGTCCACAGTCTTTAACACAAGCATACATAAGACTTTGCCCTTGGTCCTTACTATTTGAGGAATTTCAGCATGTTCAAGGAGATTCTGTTCAGTGTTTCTGCACATCATATCACATGAAAAAACATGAAGTAGCATATGATCCCATTTGGCATTAGATGGACAGGTCTGACAGGGCTTAGTTCTTGATCTCATTGATGCAAAGAAACTTGGTCCTATAGAGCCTGGGTTATATAGAACATTGGTCCTATAGAGCCTTGGTCCCATAGAGCTCTCATAAATAAATAGGCAGTAATTTCACCATGGTCTCTTCACCTAATATTTATAATATGTATAAAAATACATATTTCATCACAGTAAAAAGTAAAGTAATTTTATTATAACAATGAATGGCTTATCAATATAGAAAGATTACTTAGTAAAGAAAATTAAATCCTGAAACAGGAGAACCATTCAATCTAGAACTTGATACAGCATATGGTTATCTGAAACAACAAAAGAGCGTTTATAAGTTTATTTTTCTGATTATAGAAGCCATCTGAGTTCATTATAGAAAATTTGGGACATATACAAAAGCACTAAAATGATCAGTTACCTCTATTTGCACTGTTAAGGGGGGACTGTTGGTAATAGTAGCATGATGGTCCACAACCCCCCATCCACGGTTCCAAAGCTCAAAAACCTTTGAAAACACTGGAAATTTTTGCCAAGTTTGCAGCAAATTCATTGGGCAGCAAAATCTGACTTGAACTCGTATGGAGCAGGTCTATCTATTTATCCCGTTTGGTGAGAGTATCATGTGTTTTGCTACACAACTATTTATGTCTTTAGAGGGTGCTGCCTCAGGTGCCACTGAGAGGGTGACACAATATCTAGTATAGGCACCGTGTCACCTTTAGAAAAGATCGAAAAATGCAGAATTCTGAAACACATCTGACACTAAAGTTTCCAGATAGGGCACTATGAACCTCTATCATTCTTATCTTTTATGAAGTGTATTTATAATTTTTTAATAATTTGGACCTTACTCTATGTATCTTTTGTAACTTTTATTTTTCCGTGTTATCCAATAGTTTGCTGAAACATGATTTTATTAGTTGCAAAATATTTCATATTATGGATTTTATGTTATTTATTTAGCTAATATTCTGTTGACACACTTGGTAAAGGAAAAAAATTAATGACACAAGTTACCAGTTATACTTGCCGGTTCTTCTTTGAATATATAGATTATCAGCATCTTAAACTCTATCCGGTATAGTTAGCGTTATTCTACAAACCCAAAGAGAGGAGGGAGGGGATAGCCATTCACTTTTATGCTTAAGCCATTAAAGGGTTCTAAATTTAAATTTGCCGTGAGCCAAATTTCTTCTTATAACAAACTGGCCAGCTAAACTAAATATTATATCATGAAACATATTCCCTTTTTCCTCCAGCTGAATGGAGCATTAGTGTAATCATATATTTCTTGGATGGTACTCTGACGATCTGAAATTGTAGCTCCATGCTTTAGCCATGCAGATTCTCAGTGATGCTGCTGTTGGTGGGGTGGCTCTGTGAGATCAGAAATCCTCTGTGAACCACCAAACACATTAAATTATGTTACAGAGTCTGTGTCACAGCATTGTAGCTCACTATCCTTTAAGAGGGGTTTTTGTATGTGACATATATCATGTTTCTTGCTTAGCTAATATAGATGTTTAATTTTCAGCAGTCAAAATATTTGATTAACTAAAAGGCTTTATTTCCAACAATATAACCGATTTTATGGTAGGAACTATCTCTTCTAGGGTCTTCAAGGAATTCCAGGCATTACAGGTGCTCCAGGTCCAACTGGACCCCCTGTAAGTATTTGCTAAAACTGTTCCACTCACGGTTCATATCTGTTGAGATGATGCAAGATGAGCTGACGTTCCTCATTCTGTCCTCTGTGCCTCTATGGAGATTATCCACCTGTTGCCCAGAAAAGTAACATCCCGCATCTCATATTTTCATTTATTATCACTTAAGGCTGCTGAGGGTCGTGGAGACTTGTCATCAGAATTCTACTGGACCAGAGCAGTGTGTAATTGAGCTCGTCTATTGGAATGGGAGTTGGGTGTAAAGAGCGTTCTATTTTTTAGTTATAATTTTTTGGCATGAACCTTTGGGAGAGAGATTCAGATGGTTACACCGTTACATTCTTCGGTACCATAAACTAAGAATTTATTTTCTAGAGGGAGAAAATGGGCCCAGGATTATCAGATTCCATTTATTTCTATTCCTGTTGATGAATTTAAATACCCTCTACTTTAGTCAGCACTTTTTTTCTCTGTCCCTCAGACACAGTGTCATGGTTGTTGGTTTTCGTTATCCCATTTTCCTAAAACAGAATCTTTTTTTTTCCCAATGGCTAAAACCAATCTCTTATTAAAGTGGAGCTCAAGTTTAGGGTTGCCAGTTAAAATACAGGACATGCCGTTAAATTTGAATTTCATATGAATAAATAATTTTTTAGCATAAGTTTGTCCCCAATACTCGATTTTTATTTGCTAAATCTGGCAACCCAACTCAAGGCTCACCTTCTCCAACCCTCCCCTCCTCAGAGCTGCCAAGCAGATAGTATTCACTACACGAGGAGGAATGTAATCCTGTTCCTTAATGTTTTGAATCATGGGTTTGTCATAATTAAAATTTTACCATGTGTGCTTTTACCACAGTTATGTAGAACAAACCTGGCTTTCAATTGTACACTAAAATTAAAAGTTAAGAGAAAGAGTTGTGAAAGGAACCATGAAAATTTTATGGCTAACTCTTTTCTCAAAGAAGAATTAAAATTGAATTTTATTTTCCGTTGGTAAAATGCAGAGCGCATAACTCAAGGTGCACATTGTTAATTCTGCTGTGTCTTGAAGTATTTAAAATGTTGATCACTACCAGAATTATAGCTCATTTAGGAAGGCATAATATTATGTAAATTGCCATTTAAACAGCAAGGCTAAATTCTTAAGTGTATCAAAACGTTCTAATGAAGGTCATTAAACGTGGTTGACCAAGGTGAAAAAGCGACCATGAATACAGATTTTACCCTTCCAGGGGCTTATCAGCAGGACGCAGCTGCTATATCAGCCCGAAGAAATAGAAGCTTGTAGGACTGATTTAATTAGGATCAAATGACCTTCAAAATCTATCACTTTTAGCAACCAACTTCAATACCCTGTGCTCATTTAGTTGTTGTTTCCATAACAAACTTAGTTTTGTGTTTTACAGGGCTTGTTGGGAAGAACTGGACATCCTGGTCCTGTGGGAGCAAAGGGTGACAAGGTACACAGGAAAAGCCTCACTCCCTGTCCGAACTGGGACTTAGGGTAGGGGCAGGGTGCGACCATTTGCAGGGAAATCCGTAAAATCAAAATTCCTGAAAGTAAGAATGATGTCCAGGAATAGCTATTCTGCTAGTGGGCTTGGAAGGACATGGGTCCAGCAACTCGTCTGAATACGGGAGATGTGCTCTTAGGGGACAGACGACTAGAGCACTGATGCCGTGGAGCAGAGTCCAAGCTGGATGCAGGGTCCTAGGCAACTAGCTCTGTGGAAGAAAGGGGTGGGTGGGGAAGCCTCCTGGACAGCCACAGGTAAGGTGGTTTGCATCGGGGAGATCCAGCCACAGGTGCCAAGGCTCCAGACAGCATACTGGCTGGCAGGACCAGGATTCCATAAATGACGGGCTTGCTGAGAAAAATCTGGAAGTTCTGTGCTTTGAGGGTCATGGGGGAAATTCACTCAGGAACAAGGACAACTTGTTTCCTGGGGAGTCTGGTTGATTGGACAGATGAGTTGCTGTGGTCAGAAGGGAGGACCAGCAGCAGGAGGGTCTCAAACAGGAAGACAGCAGGGCCCTACATGTTCACCTGATGTAGGATCTCAACTGGCCCCATGGTGTGAGTGCAGACAGAGGCAGCAAATGAGAGAAAAAAGCTAGCTCTTCAGGTTGCAGAAATAAGTATCGAGAGTCCACTGAGCTGCTCGGTGATGAGCAGCTGCCACCCAGGCTCGTCAAAGTGGGGCATGATGGCCCGAAGGAGCAAAGGAACCCTGAAAACTTTGAAAGGCAGCAATGTGCTTATTCTAGATAGTCTCAGCACATTTTTTTCTGATGGTGTCCCGAGGAGCTTGCCCGACCCCACCAGCCTTTTTTGTCTGTTCTCTATGGAAATCATTCAGTCAGAGATCTGCCTTTTGAAGTTAATGGGCATTCCACACTGAGATGAGCTTTGGGGCACAATCAAGGATGAAAATATGACATTTAATTGTGCCAGGGGAAAAAAAGTCTTTTCAATAGGCACATATTTTTCCTTGTTTGTTGTCCTCTCATAGTTCGTGAGAACTATGACATAATTCTCTGAGGGACACTGCCAGCAGTCAGCAGAATGTGACATGTCTGAGAGCAAAGGCACCATCAAAGCCGTTTGCAAAAAGACAATATGCTCGTTGTCACTCATTCTCAGGCATCTACACTGCAAGAACACTGTACGGTTTATTTTTATTGATAAAGATATAAACAGAAAGGTTTTTTTGGTACTTTCTTTTGTTACTGAAAAAAAATGGGGAGATTGGAATGAAATCTTTCATCAAATTTGTGGAAATGGACTGAAATCCCTCAAAATTCTTGGGTACTGTAAGTAGGAATTTTACTCTCTCTGGATTTTTCATTAATTAACCATTTCTTGCCATTGCCCCTGAGTTTGAGGGACTTAAAAAATTTTATGAGGCTGTTATTCTAAAGGAAAAGCAGTTACAGGAAGAAGTGGTTAAGGCACCAATGAGACTATAGTCCATCTGCTTACTATGGACCGATAAGCAGTCTATGTTTTATGAAAGTAAAAGTGAAATCCGTTTGTCAACTTTCAACTTGAATTCATTTTCACAAATTTCATTTTCAGTCTGCCTTGCCTGTCGGCAGCACATCTGAGCCCATTTAAATTGCGTAGAACATTTCTGTCCAGCGGACCTGCCTGACTGGGCTGTAACATCTAATATTAACTGAGGAAGGGAAAGAAGTTTCTCCTCCTGAGATGCCACACAGGTTGTGATTTTCTACTCCGATCAAGATATGTGGGTGCACCCTCTAGTTCCCAAAAGATGAAAATGGTGGCAGTGAGGGGAAAAGTGAGGGGCTGATGGAGAGAGCCGTACCCCAGAGCCTGCCCCTGCTGGCAGGGACTCTGCTCTGCGCCCCCACGTGGGGAGAGAGTCCCCGGCTGCACTTGAATCCAAGACATGATCGCGTGGGTTGTCTGGCTCTGTCTAGAAATAAGCCTCGTCCCTGGGCTCACACGGAGAGAATCTGAATGGGCGTGAGAGAAGGCATTTATCCTTCCTGTGGTCTAGAAGTGTATTTCCCCAGGTTAGGAGAGCGCCAAGGTGAGTAAGACTCTGCAAGGCAGAAGCAAAACAACAGGTCATATTGATTTCAGAATACGGCTCTCTGAGCAAGCACAATCTGCTCCATAAACCCAGGGTGGAAATGTCCACGCCATTGATTTTGGTCTGTATATCCCTTGCAGGGCAGCGAGGGACCCCCTGGGAGACCTGGACCACCCGGACCACCCGTGAGTTGCTTCAGGATTAAAACTTAAATTCACACGTCTACTTAAGACTTTTATATCTCAGGGGTCAGACTCTGTCTAGACGTTCTCAAAGATACAAGTCATCTGCGTCTCAGGTGTAAATATGAATGACAGTGGATGGAGCTTTGGGGAGGCCTGGTTTCTCCCCTTTAGCTCAGCCCCATGTGCAAATCTGAGCGTACTGTGGCCTCCCTACCGTGGACTCAGGACACCTGGGTTTGTTCCCTGCTCCCACCCCTCCTTTCACTTCCTGCCTGGGGGGCCCTGGGAAAGGCGTTTAACCTCAATGAGCTCATTCACAGAAAAGAAAGAGGCTTTAAAAAGAGATCCTTTCCTGCAATGGGAGTTGGTACAGAAGTCGGTATTACGCTATGTGTGTTCATTACCATCCATGATGTCTGAGAGGCAAGGAGATTCTGTTTCTGTAGCAGCCAGTGAATGAAATGTATGAGAGCCGTGGACGTTTCCACGCTCACCATTGAGACAGGTGTGCACTTTCTAGGCTGCAGACAGGATGGCTGCCTCTCTCTGTGGCAAGTCTGCCCTCATGTGGGGCCACAATCAAATCGCAGCAGAGCTCCCGTCCAGGCCACATGTTCTTTTCCACCCTGCCTCATAGGAAGAGTTGAAGAAGCCAAACTCCCACAAGAAGGGGCAGAATTTGCCTGTGACTTTCTAAAGACAAGGAAGATATGTTCTTAGTCAGTGTGCATTGCATGCTTTGCACACATAAATGAAGAGATTTGCATTCTGTTTTCCTAAACCTGTTCTTCATTTTGTTTACTTACCTTCTCCCTTGACAAGGAAACAGGGCAGAAAGTATTTGGGGCTCAAATCCTATAATGCACTCTCTCCCCAGCGAACAGAACAGCAAAATATAACAAGAGCTCACAAAAGGGACCTATGTATTACAATGGGCTTAAGAAATCTTCCTCTTCCCCCTGAATTCTCCAAAATCATGTATTCTTCCAGACAGATTACATGTTGTCTTGGCTGGGAAATCTCCCCTGGGAATCTCAGACAAACTCATGCTTCATCTCTCTAGGACTCAGCACACTAAAATATAGTAGACATTCAGCAATCATCAGATGAATGGGGGGAACAACAAAGGAGCCAACGAATGGAGTGTCTTTCCTTCCATCACTAGTGTTTGGAAGATGCGTGCAAATCACGTTCACCAAGCACCACTGGCCACTATTGTCCCCAAAACAGTGAAATGATGGCTCCTTCAATTTTGCAACTGAAATGTGGAAATCACAAGGAGGAAAATGCAGATTATTGACTCTATGGGAATTTTTTAAAAGAAGGATAAAAGATCCTAACTAAAATTTTCATATGCAGATTTTTCCTGATTGCCAAAATGTTATGAGTTTTAAAGACTCTCCAATGAGTTCTCCTTAAGTGTTAGCTACTCTGGGACTTTCCATCCACAGGTCAATTTTATTAGGAAGTTCTTGTTCCCTGTTGTTGTGAAGAATATGTTTTATAGAAACATCCACACAGGTTGTGAGTAACCTCATCTCCTCCATTTACTCTGATTTTCTGTTTAGTATGAAGAGACTGTGGGAAAAAAAATCGTTCCCCAGTCACGTCTTCATCAGCACTGCCGTGTTGTAGCTCACAGGCCAGCAGGCTGTAAACAGTTAGCATAAATTGGCAATTCAGAAGCTGAATTTTAATGAGTAAATCCTATTTTCCCCTGAATGCATTAGTGTCTCATCTGTCAACCCTGGACATTGTCGCATCCACTGAGAGCGTCTGTGCGTCCAGGTGTAGCTCATGCTCCTTTTCATTTTTGCCTCTGCATTTGCTTTTGAAAAGCCAAAAATGGAAACACTGTATTATTTTACTTATAGTATTAAACCCACTTTCTAACATAGAATGGGAAGAATATCATTTGGTAAAAAGAGAAAAGGTGGAGATACTAACTATTAACTTGAAGGAATAATTCTATGCCTCACTTCTTTCCTAAGGGTGTACCATTCAGTGAAGGAAATGGAATGAGCAATTTATATAAAATCCAGGTATTTACTTCTATAATTATGTAAAATCATTTTTCAGTTATGAATGACTATAAATTCTTCTCACCTTTTTTCTTTTTTTTGAAGGGAGGTGTGAATGTTCCCAGTTATCCAGGGCCACCCGGCCCCGCTGTGAGTACACTTGTTTATCACCAGGCATGTTTTCATACCTTAGCTGAACAGCCACAAAAAAAAAAAAAAAAACTCCTGAGTACACTGAAAAATACTTGTTACAAATATAACCAAAATTTTATGTAGGAGGAAATAAATGGAATCAATTATAATAAAACTGAGAAAATATACACAGCCAAAATAATGGGAAATAGCATTCTTCATAGTGGTGTCACTGTTAGCATTGTAAGTCTAAGAACTTAGTCAGTGTTCAGGCAATCACTGTCATAGGAGATCCAGCAAGTTATGTTGCCTCATCTTATTCTTCAAATCTAAATGTAGCAAAACGAAACTTGCAAATATTTTTATGTGCATTAAAGCAAATATACAAATTGTTTGGAAAAAAATCTTTCATATTCTGTAAGTTTGCTTCAGTTGTTATTTTAAAAATGACCTCCCATGTTTTCTTATAGGGTCCAAAAGGCGATCCTGGCCCAGCGGTAGGTACCTTCGCGTGTTTTGTGTCATTTAGAAAATGTCTTGATTAAAGTTTGAAAGAACAGCATCCGGCAGAGATGCTCTGCCATCTTAGATGTTTGTCAGTTAACATGCTGGAGGCGGCAGGCAGGCCACCAAAGAAATGCCAGCAGCAGGCTCTTCATTTTTAAGATGCATCAGTCCTGATGTTGTCACTACCATTGACGTTTGTCTCTTTGATTTGTGTGTCTTAAAAATCCCCCTGTGATGGAGGAAGGCCCATTAAAAGCTCCTGATAAATGGGACGCTTTCTTCTGATAGGACCACTTTGATGATTCATTCAATGTTCACTAGATTGTGGAGGAGAAATACTTACTGGGAAGAAATCCCTTAATACATCTGCCATCAACCCTACAAAAAAAAGAAAGGGACTGTTTATTTGCTTTGAATGTCTTAGGCAATTATTCCGTAGGAGATGCGGTGTGCTGTTGTAAACCTGCTTATTAGGGGTAATATATCAGGAGATTAACACTCAGCGCAGAAAGAGATCATGTCCTCCAGCCGCCCAAGTGATGATAATTGTTCTCAAGCATCCTTCTCAACCATGGAGCTTCACTGTAAAACTCTGCCAAGTTCAATTAGATTCCCTTTTTTCCTTGGCAATTTTTCCTGTCGTGTCCTTTTCAAGCATATGCCCCAGCCTTCATATTTCATTTGTACACCCTCTTAACCTTTGTATATGTACTTGAAACTCAGATGTGCCTGAAACTGAAATAAACTTTCATGCCACTTTCCACTGCCATGTGACAAAATTTAAGGCCCTTTCATGACAGTACAATTTGGTGAAACTAGATGAATACATTTTAAAGGAGCAAAGCAACAAGCCATAAAAAGTAATCTTTTACATCTAAATATATTTTCAGAGGAGATGCATTAAAGAGCTTATCTTTTGTTGTTGGGCAATATGTATTAAAAGTCAATTTGTTTTCCCCCCAAAAGCATGATTTCAGCCCACTAATAGCACTTTCTGAACCCCAAATATGTCACTCAGAGGTATCCTTTGTTTTGTTACACGTGGTGCCCTTTCTTGATGTGGTGTCACCAGCCATATCCCTCATTCTGATTTCAGTTTGCTGTCATCCTGTTGATAAAAGTTTGCTCCTGCACACACTTACACACAACACATCCCCCTGGGTCACACAGGGGCACCCAGACTTCTCACTGACTCTCTGAAATATTCAAGTGTTTTCATTAATAACTGCAGATGAAGATGAGAAACCTTTTAAAAAAGCATCCTAGTAAAGGATGAATTATAATTCACTTGGACTGGGAAGTGAATGACAACAAAAATGTAGACAGATTTGAGTTGAATTTGAAGACATTAGGCTTCAAATTTCTTAGCTGCCACAAAACATGAAGAATAAAAACCAACTGAAGGACGTTCCTTGAGTTTAGAGATGTGAATTAAGTGGATGAAGCACAAACCAGAAATGTAGAACCATGAAATTAAATACTGTGTGAACCTTCAGGTTTATCTTAGATAAAACTTTGAAGTTATTCTTTTGGGCTCTCTGTCAGCACCAAAATGCTACTCCGTTTCCCACCACTTGCCCAGTGTGGAGAAATAACGCCCCATACCATAGAAATAAGCCAGCATGGTAGAATTATAGGTCACAGAGTACAAAGTGGAAAAGTCATGATGAAGGGGTGAGGGGAGGTTTACTCTTCCAGCATCCTTCGATTCCCATGACGCTGGATCTCCACCACTGTTTCTAATCTGTTCAGTAAACCTTTATTGATGAAAATTACCCTTAATTGAATTTATTATCTTCCAAAGTGCTCCATTTCATTCCTTTCGTATTCAATTCATAAGTGGCTTTCAATTAAATGTTTAATTATTAGCTACTTTCAAACAAATATTGATTGGTTGCTTGAGCACCTTCCTCTGTTCCAAGGATTGTTGAGAATGTGAACAGAGAGGATCACAGAGCTTGTTTCCCCTGTCAGTAACCCAGGACCTCCTTCACAGAGCGTTGTGTCAAACAGAATCTGAACATCTTTGTTTTTTCTGATTGACAGTTTACGTATTAGTGGACATTTAAAAAGATTTCTGAAGCATAAAAAGTATCAATTCATACGCTTGTTCATTAAGTATTCTGTAATAAGGACAATATCATAAATAACAATGGCAGAGTGTTTGTGATATTTTTGAAGCAGATTAGAATTATGCGTGCAGAAATACATTTACTGATGAAATTGGGATGCTCCCTTTTCTATGTGATTATGTTGAAATCGTCCAGTGTCCTAAGAAAATATTTGCAGTTAACATTAATATTAATAATAATTCATTAACAAGTAGATATCCAACAACTACCCACATTTTCTGTCTTGATTTAAAAGCCCTAATGTTTATCTGCTCAAGGTTGGCAGCTTCCATCACCCTGGCTTTCCTAATGTGTTCCTTGGGGACCTATCGGCCCCAGTTAGCCTGGGCCCATACACTAGAATATGTAAAAGATTGTTAAAAATGGAATGCTTACCCGTCTCCTCTCAGGGACCCATCGGCTTGAGCAGTAGCTTTCAGAATCAGCGGACAGGCTGCTCCTGGGCCGTTCTCTGAACCACACAATTCCTTCTAGCTGCAGAAAGCAGGGAGGGATGAGGTCTTTGCTTTGAGAGTCCATCTTCAGCTACTCTTAAAGAGTTTAGCCATTTTCTCTGGGATTCTAGCAGCCCCAGGCACCTCACCAATTGGCAAACTTTATTAAAACCCAGCCTTTCCTTCTAATTCTTATTGAAATTGGACTTGTCACTGACCAGAGGGATTCATTCTGATTAGATCCTTAATCAGAATAAAAACAGTTAACCAGAAAATACACTCATACTTCTCCAGGGAATAGCTTGATTCTCAAACTGTTTTCAAATGCCGAATGCAAGAATACAGATGCTTGAAAATAGAGCATACCATTTGCTTGCTACATTACCTGTCAATGCTTGAGGGGGTATTTTTTTGGGCAAAAAATATCTTTGCTTTGGAAACCAGTGCTTAAAAACCTTTTGATCGTTGCTCCTGCATTTCTTATGTTTGTTTTTAACAGGGAGAACCTGGTGCAATGGGGTTGCCAGGACTAGAAGGATTTCCAGGTATAAAGGTAAGTACAGAGGTTAGAAATGCGTTCACTGATTCGACATTCAAAAATGTTTACTGAGCACCTTCAGTTAGTCCAGGAACTGGCTTAGGTTTGGGGATCCAGAAAGGAACAAAAGAACAAAAATCACTGCCCTCCTGGAACTGATTTTCTAGGAATGGGATACAGAAACTAAAAGAATAAACATTAATAACTAATATTGTTAAGTGCTATGGAAAGAAAGAAAGAAAAAGTAGAGCAGGTTAAGGAGCACCAGGGAAGGCAGGGTGGTGATTTTAAAAAGGGGGCCTGAGAAGGCAAGATCTGAGCAAAGACCTGAAAGAGGTGAAGGGGAGTTAGCCCAGCCCCTCATTGGATCTGGAGATGGAAGGTAACTGTGCTGTACACTTGAAATTTGCTAAGAAAACAATATGGTGGCTCTGTGAGGTGATGGAGATGTTAACTAGCTGGATTGTGGTGGTTACTTTACACTGTATACATATATCAAATCATCAAGTTGTACACCTTAAATATGTACCAAAAAAAGAAAAAAGGAAGCCACAGCAGGTCTAAATGCCCTGAGACATGAGCGCTCCAGCCACATGCAAGGAGAGCAGGGGCATGCCTGTGGGGAGAGTGGTGGGAGGTGAGGGGAGAGGCAGGTGGAGGTGAGGAGCAGCCCCAGCCTGTGGTCGTACAGAGCGGGGTTCAGTGTGGCCAGGACAGGACCAGCCAGTCTACAGGCACTTTGGTGGGGGTTCTGCAGCCAGGTAAGAGCAGACACTGAGAGGAAGCAATTGAACACTTGTAGAGCAACTTGACTTTCCATGATATCCAAACATGGGATCGTAGGCTCATCTTGTTCCTGATGTGTTAAAAAAATAAAGAAAGAAGTAAATAAACTGCTCCTTGACCACACAGAGTTTAAGTGCTAAGAAAGAGGCTTATTGGCCATTGTAGGGACTTTATCTTTGACTCTGAGTAAAGTACGGAGCCAGGAGTGGTTTCTGAGTGCAAGAGTGTCAGGGCCTACAGCCTGAGGAGAAGGTAGAAATGGAGAAGCCAGTGTGAAGACAGTTCCCACAATGCAGGTGGGAATTATGTCAGCTCAGATCAGAGCAGAAACAGGGAGGCAGAAGGAAGTAGCTAGATTCTGGATATATTGAGAAGGTAGAACCAATAGGATTTTATATTTTTTTTCCTTAGCCCAGCCGTTAAATGTTGCTAATCCTCCGAAATCTACTTCTCCTTCTTTCTCACCCTGCGTTCTCTCCAGGGAGTGGCTTCAGTGATGATCTCATGCTGATGAGTCCCAGATGTCTATCTCTAGCTGAGATTTCACCCTTGAATTCTAGACCTGTGTTCACTAAGCTGCTCGGGTGTTTCCCCTGAACAGACCACTTATGCCTCAGAGTGTAGTTGTCCAAGCTCCTCACCTTCCACCTCCCTACCCACACTTTATTACAGCTTGTTTTACGTATTCAGTTGTTCCCTATCTTTGACGACTATCACTGCTGACCTTGTATGTCAGTTCAGAACACTAGGTAACAATCCTCACTTTCCTTTTCCTCTACCACCCACCTGAGCTTAATCGTTACCTTCCCCTGGATCTCACCTGCTCGATCTATCTAGAGGTCGGCGACTTCTCACCAATCCTGTTACAACTCTCACAGTTGGGGTGACCACCACTTCTTATTAGCATTATGTCCATTTTTAAAAATTTAAACTAATAAAAAAAAAGTTCACCCATCTCTCTACCCCCTGCTTTTCCCCTGCTCCCCCAACCTCTAGCAACCACCAATATGTTCTCTGTATCTGTGAGCTTGGTTTTTTCCTTTTTTTAGATTCCACTTGTAAGAGAGATCATATGGTATTTGTTTTTTCTCCGACTTATTTCATTCAGCATAATTCCCTCAAGTTCCATCTATATTGTCACAAATGGCAAGCTTTCATTCTTTTTTGTGGCAGAATAATATTCCATTGTATCTATGTTTACCGCAATTTCTTTATCCATTCATTCATCATTGGACATTTACGTTGTTTCCATATCTTGTCTATTGTGAATAATGCTGCAGTAAACATGGAAGTACATGTATCTTTTTGAGTTAGTGTTTTTGTTTTCTTCAGATAAATACCCAGAATTGGGATTGCTAGATCATACAGATGTTCTATTTTTAATTTTTTGAGGAATCTTCCTACTGTCTTCCATAGTGGCTATACCAATTAACATTCCCACAAACAGTGTACCAGGGTTCTCCTTCCTCCATATCCTCACCAACACTTGTTATTTCTTCTATTTTTTACAATAGCCATCCCAACAGGTGTGGGGTGATCTTATTGTGGTTTTGATTTGCATTTCCCTGATGATTAATGATGTTGAGCATCTTTTCACGTAGCTGTTGGCCATCTGTATGTCTTCTTGGGAAAAATGTCTATTCAGATCTTCTGTCCATTTTTTAATCAGATGGCTTGGTTTTTGCTATTGAGTTTTATGAGTTCTTTGTATATTTTGGATATTAGCCCCTTATCAGATATAGTCAACAACTCCTAGTTCCCAATAGGATTTTCTGAATGGTTGGATGTGGGTATGAGAGAATAAAGTCAAGGGTGACACCAAGTTGTTTGACCTGAGCAACTGGCATAATGGGGTGGTCATCAACTGAAATGAGGAAAGCTATAGGCAGAGCCTATTTAGGGTGAGGATGATCAGGAGTTAGTTTTGGACATGAGGTGAAATTTGGAAGTATCTGTTAGACAACAAAGTGGACATATTGCATAGGCAGTCTGTGTCGAGTTTGAAAAAGGAATCTAAGTGGAGATGTAAATTTGGTTGTCATAAAAATATAGATGTTGTCTTAAAGTCAGGAGACTGAATAAGGTCACCCAGAGAGTGACAGTAGATTTTTGAAAAAGAGAAGAAGATCAAGGACTGAGCCCTGAGGCCCTCCAACATTCAGAGATCAGGAAGAAAAGGAGGAAAGAGCAAGGGAGACAGGTGAAGTGACCAGGGAGGTAGGAGGAAAACTTGGTGTCCTGGAAGACAGGCGAAGATAATATGTCAGGGAGAAGAGAGTGATCACCTGTCTCAAACACTGCAAATAGGTCAAGTATGATGCAGATGGGGTCAAGTAGGATGGCCAAGTATTGACCAGTGGATTTAGCAATATAGAGGTCAGCTATCACCAAATAAATTATTACAATTTCACTATATTGGTAGGAGCAACTGCTAGACTTGAACAGGTTTAAGAGAGAATGAGAAAAAAAAATTAGAGACAGCAAATACAGTATAAGTAATGCTCAAGGAGTTTTGCTGCAAAGGAAAGCAAAGAAATGGGCCAGTGGCTGCTGGAGGAAGTAGGAAGCCTAGTTAAAGTGGATTTTAAGTCCATAGAAATATCAGAATGTGTGTATGCTAAAGGAATAATCCAGTAGAAAGGGGAAGGGGAATGATGATATAGGAGGAGAGGGGAGAATTGCTGGAGTGATGTCCTTAAGAAGCTCAGAGGGAAGGGGACCTAGTGCATAAACGGAGGGTTTGGCTTCAGAGAGGAGCCTGGATCTATCTATGGTAACAAGTGGGAAAACAGAAGATGGGTGCAGAGGCTGATATGTGGGAAGAGTAATTGGTTACAGTCTATAGAAGTTCTTTTCTGGTCGCTTAAATCTTCTCAGAGATGGAGGAAGCAAGGCCATCATTTGAGAGTGAGGTGGGGAGAAGAGGCTAGGAATTTAAGGAGAAGGACTTCTAGGAGAGAGGACCCCTCCAGGGACCACAGAGTGTGAGGCCTAGGGGCCTGCTTGAGGTTCATGGTCAAGAAGTGAGACCAGTCAGCGAGATCTTCTCCAGCCATGTTCAGACAGGTAAAGGCACAGAATAGGAGGTGAGTTAGTTTAAGCAAGGTTCCCATTTCGACAAGTGAGTGCTAGAAGCAAGAATGGGGCAAGAGAGTCAGTGGCATGTGTACACAAGGGAGTCATTACAGCCACTGACCATGGGAGTTAAACTCATTAAGCAAGGGAGAGAGGCCATCCAGGGAGGGAAGGATAATGAAAAATTTGTAGCATCAATGGGCTGGAGGTCTTGGTGGCAGAAAAGTTTTGGGGAGTCCAAGGTACTCAATGAAGTGAGTTAGAACAGGGAAGATAGTGGTCCAGGGCTGGAATGCATGAGATTATGGAGAGGATGCAGTCACTGTTATTGACAAGGTCTCAGGTATAACTATGGAAATAGGTGGCTGATCACCAGAGGAGAGTAGTTCGAAGAACTGAGAGACCCGAACGTTGGAAGGATTGTCTTGTCAGAGAGAAGGCCTCTTAACGTCCATCTTTATCAGATATGCAAATTTTCCATTGAATAAAAAGTTCCTGTTATTCATTTCAAGGGTAAAAATCTCCTAATTTAAAAGGAGCAGAGTGAAACTGACAAGAATTACCTGTTTAAATCATTCGCCCACTTTTCTATTAGTTCTTTTTCTATTTGACTGTAAATTTGCTTTCTATATTAAAGACATTCCTTCTATCTTATATGTTGGCGTTTTTATCCTACTTGGTCTTTGCCTTTCATTTTATGTTAATCTTACTGTATATGTAAATATAAATTTAATGTAGTCAAATATAAAACTATTTCTCTTTATCATTTCCTGTTTTGCTTTTATGCACTAAATGACTTTTATTCTTATTCTCAATCAGAATCAGAGAGTCACATATTTTCTTCTGGTTCTTTTATGCTTCATATTTTATTTTTTACTTAATCTATATGGAATTTACATGGAGTATAATATAAGGAGGAATCAAATTTTTTTCAAAGAAATTATTCAATTATTAGCACTATTTGTTGAATAATATACCCTTTTCTTTACTAAAACCCTATTATAAGTGTTGGTCTGTTTCGGAGGTTTCCGTCATATAGCACTGATGTACTGCTTAACCGTCTGCCAATATTCCATTATTCTCATTGTTATAGCTTTATTACATAGTTAAATATTGGTATTGCTAATCCCTTTATTATCCTTCTTTTAATTTTTTTCTTTTATCCTTTCATTTATTTATTATCCTAGGTGAAATGTAATATCTTTGATCAAGCTGCAATTTCGTAAGAATCGCACTAAATTTATGAATTAGTTTGGGTAGCAATGACACTTTTACAACATTGCCTCGCCCTCCAAGAATGAAACGTTCTCTCCATTTAATCAAGTCTTCTTTTACGTCCCTGAGTGAAGTCATGAAGTTTTTTAATGCAGGTTCTGCTCCACAAAAAGTGCCATTTTATTGTCCTGTATATGATCATGAGTATTTTTAGCATTGTCAGCTTTGGCTGAAAACACCATATTGCTTTTGGAAAGAGTTGAGTCCTCTACTTCAGAGCAATTCCAGGGATCTTCTGTTGGGCCTCCCGAGGAGAACTGTGAAGTCCCTTGTGCTAAATCACTGTTTTCTAGCAGCACATCCAATGAGACAACTACAGGAAAAGCTTGTCAGAAGACATTCAACGTGCTTAGTCTTTGTAGTGCTGGTAATGAATTACTTCTGAATATGTGTAATAAAAACATTGACTAATTTTAGCTATAGGTATGTATGGAGTCCTGATAAAAATAGGTCACAGAAATGATAACATGAATTCTTGTTTTCATTAAGATTGCTTTAGTTTTATGAAGAAAGCTGTAAACAGGTTCAAATGGCTGCTCATTTTATTATTTCCCTATCTACCCTCTAGCTTCACACCAGCTGATATTGATAATGCTTATTAATTCCAAAGAAAAACTTTACCAAATCCAAATGATTATTTGAGCATTAATTTTATAGGTAAAGATTTTATAGATATCATTATAAGTAGCAATGTTTTTTAAATCCCAACAGGGAGACCGAGGCCCAGCAGGGCCCCCAGGAATAGCCGGGATATCGGTGAGTCCGTTTTATCTCACGTTACTTTGCAGGTAAACGCTTCTGTCTCCCCAGTAAACCCGCGTGGGGAGCACACTGTGACTCCTGAGGCGTTCGGCTCCTGAGACCCCCCACTTACCTGGGAAGCGGTGCTTGTGACGATGCACTGATATACGAGCACAGCTTTGAAAAGCTTGTTTTGTTTCTCTATTCTTGTCATATTTCAAGGTTTCTCAATCCTCAAGACACAAAGTTCTCACCGTCAGGCTTGTACTTCAGGTTCTTTGTATGAGGCCGCAGTCGGCCTGAGTTCTCCCTCAGCCCCGTGCTATTAGCAGAGCTTTATCGCTGCTAATGTCTCCTCGTAAACTAGCCCTCCAAGCCTCGCAATCATTTTTGTTGCTCTCTTGTGTCAAATGCTTTAATCTCATCGAGGTCTTTTCAGATGAATAGGAAGTGCTCCAGGAAAGGTTGAAATCATTTCTCTGAGCCTGAGGGATCGTTCTGAAATTCATTCATGATGCTCTAATTAAAATTTTGTGGCCATGCTTTACGAATACCAGCCCATTTATCCTCTTGCTGGGTGCCCCTGCAGGGTAGGCCCAGGATAGGAGAGTCGATAGAAACCACCTGCTTGAATCACAGGAACGTGAGAAATATAAGAAAGGAGCCTACCGTCACCACCCATTACCCACTGACATCTACTGACACCCAGCACCAGCCAGAGCCACCTGCCACCCCCCACCAGCCCCATCCCTGAAAAGGCCAGTAGCCGCTCTACTTCACTCTGTCCAGTTGCTGAATCTAATAACAAAAAATAAACACCCATCCGTAGTCCATAGAAACCATTCTTTATAGCGGATGAGATCCCTTTATTTAGCTACTCTAGCTCAAGTTAAATATTAGTATTATTTTAAAGGTAACAAGAAAATATTTTCTTTAGCAAGCGCTTCAGAATTTTTTATACAAGAAAGTATCCCTCTTGGAAGTTGGCTCACAGTTAATTCCCTTCCTCCCTTTCCCTCACTTACTACCCTTCTTCCAAACATATTTGCAACTCTGTTTCCAGAATTGCCCTGAGTCCCGGTACAACCGGCCGCCCAATACTCAAACCCTGTTTTTGTTTCCATGTCATATAATGAAGCGTAATTCCCACTGTATTCACCCAGGAGTGACTACACATTACTTTTGGCTATTGCCCTAAATTAAGTGTACTTTCGAAGAAAAAATATTGGCAACCATCAAAGTATTTAAAAGATGATAGGTTAAAAGGCAATCCAAATGAAGAATTCCGAAGACATTTTTGAAGGATGCAGCGTGATTGGAATAAGGGGCTTGCCTGCCACCTATTTGGATGTCTAAGAGCTGATACATTTGCCTAAAATGCAGTTTTCCTATCTCATAATTAAGAGGATTAGCTGACATTACAGAAATAGAGAAGGGGTAAAAATGTTGCACACTGCCAACATGTAACTGTGTAATTGAAAATGCAGCTTAATTTTTTATAACTGGACCTTACTCTGGCTCAGAAAGTAAAATAGTTAAAAGATTTTCAAAACAGTGGTGATGGTTACACAACAGTGTGAATGTGTTTAATGCCACTGAATTGTACACTTAAAAATGGCAAAAATGGTAGATTTATGTTATGTGTATTTTACCACAATAAAAAATTTAAGATGGTTGTTCTGGTTGCAACAGGGTTGAGCCCCTCCTGCTCAGGTGCATCGTGGTCACTCTGCTGAGTACCAAAGGGACCCCATCGTGCTCTCCCTCGGCAATCTATCCCTCTCCAGTATATGCAGGCCCTCCAGGGTTCTCCAGGGCTTCTTTCTCTCCCTTCCTCCCAGGATGGCGTGGGGTCTAGAGGAGTCTGTAAGGGCTGGCAGTGGGCGGGGCCTCTGGTCAGCCTCCTCCCCTAGCTTCTCCTGCTTCTACCTGACTTGTGGGATTGCTGCTACCTGCTGTCAGTGTCCTGATCCTTCGTCTCAGATCTCAGGGCCCAGGCACTCTGCACCCCTGTGGCCCCCAACCAAGACCCTGTGGACATTGCCCTCTCAGCTCCAGCACACCCCCCACCTCAGGCACACAGGAGCCTCAGGAGCTCCCTCTCGCACCTGCAGGCAGCCAGGGAGCCAGGGAGCCCTCTCAGGCCCGTGTCCGCCTGGGTCTCCGCTCACCATATCTGATCCTGTGAGGGAGGCTCCTCCCAGAATTCTGAACAGCAAGTGGGAAGAAGCTCTTCCTTTTCAGCTTCCCTGGCAACCCCCTGGGGTTTCTCTGATCTCAGCCCCAACCTACCCCATGTGGCTTGTCTTCCCCACCATGTGAGGTCCGGGGAATAGGAGGTGGTTCCTTCTCAAAGGCAATGTCTCTCAGCCTGGTCTGGAACCTTCAGCGCTTCCCCACCTGCAGTCTCTGCTGGTCCATCTTCCTCTCTTGTCCCTCCCTGTGGTCTCTTGACCCCGGGATTTCCCTGTGGTCAGTCCTCAAGGACACATCTATTGATGTGTATTGGAACAGGTCAACCTTGTCCTCTCCCTTTCAACAAAACACTGCTTTTCAAATCAAACAAACTTTTTTCAGCCTATCTTACTATGAACATAAAAACCCTCTTATGAAACTCCAAGTCTAGGCAGGACCTCTTTGACCCCCTGTGCCCTCCCACCCCCCAAACTAAAGAAGAGGTGCCAATGGGCACAAGAGGGACTTCCAGAAATGAGGATACATTGTTTCACATTTTCAAAACTATTGTCCTCCCCTCCCACCCTCACCACACACGCATATGTGCCTTCAGAGAACAGCACTCCAGTCTGCACCTCAGAGCCGCAGAATCAAGTATGGGTCCCCTGGACTCTGTCCCATTAGGAAGGTCATTTCAGTGTAGAGAGAGACAGCCCTGGGAGCACAATAAACTCACGGGGTGGGTAGGGGGGAGGGAGGAGCATGTGGCATCATTCAGTAATTAGACTCCTAATATTTCTCCTTGATTTCACTTCCCAGGGAAAACCTGGAGCCCCCGGGCCCCCAGGAGCTCCAGGGGAACCGGTGAGTTGCCAGTTACTTACATAACAGTTGTACTTGTGTTGTACCGTGTGCAGTTTTGAAGATTTTCTTGGCACTTAATGTTTGTCTGTGGCTGTGTCTACAGGGTGAGAGAGGACCTGTTGGAGATGTAGGTTTCCCTGGACCAGAAGGACCCTCAGGAAAGCCAGTAAGTACTTTTTACCATTTAAAATTTGCCAGTTTGAGAAGTATTCTAAGTATTATCTCTTCCCTTATCTCCTCAGAAAATCTGAGATTTGAATAAGTAGTTTCCAAGCAAGTAGGAGCAGATTCTGCAAATCGATTTTTTGGGGTATGCTTCTCACTGAATGTCTGTGAGGGATCTTTATGTCTTAAACAGTGGTGAGAAAGGTGAGATTTTTTTTGTTTTAAGTATCAGGAAATTAGACTCATTATTTCTTAAGTCTAATGTTCTCACTGGAGTTAAAAAATATAATGGCCTATCACCTCCTAAAATGTAAAGAAGCTGAAGACTCACAGATATAACGCTTGGTGTTAAGCTAAAAACTAAAGCAAAAGCTTTTGTCTCAGATTCCCTTCTTTATCTGTGAGCCTTGTTCTGACACCTTCATAAATTGCTGCTGCCGAATATATTATCCCCTGGGTCCTGAAAGAGCTCTTGGCTACTGATACATTGTATTGATGTGATGTTGTAACAATCATTCCTACTAATTCAGTTAGATTTGGCACCTGTTCGTCTGGTCCCTGCTGTTTGCCAAGGATGTGCTGGGCCCTGGGGGAGGGGCTACAAAGATGAAGAAGACATGCCCCAGTCTCAGGTTTATTCTTTATAGAGGGTCACTGCTCCCTTGGCTTGTGTATTTACTGTGTGTGTGGGGGAAGGCAGTGCTATGAGGAGAACGGGGCTGCAAGTGAACGAGCAACACGGAGTTCGCGCGGCTGGTTAGTGTCTCTGTGAAACCTTCAGGGTCAGTGTATTCCCTGGCTGCCATCCCCCCAGAGAAGGCAACTGAGAAAATGGGAAAGATCTGCACTTTAGGAGTCAGAAAGACCTGGCTTTGGATTATGACTCAAAGCGTATTGTGAGTCACTTAAGTAATAAGCCATATGGTGAGCATCTCCAGGGCCTGGCCCTGGGAGGTGCTCGGTGAATACTGGTTTCATCCGCTTCCTCCCCTTTACCTCCTCTTACCAACGCCCCATTCCCAGCCCCTGTAAGCCACCTGGTAACTGCTCGCCATTGGGCTCCCAGGGCATTATGCAAAAAGGAACGTGTTCATTCACCAAGTATTTCTCAGTACCTACTACCTGCCAGGCACTGTTCTGGGTCCCAGCAACTCCTAGGGTTTACATTCTAGTGTAGGGACACAGACAACAAACAAACACACAATTTCAGGTAGAAGAAGATCTGAGCAGGGTAAAGTCTAGATAGCACTTAAATAGGGCCATCAAGGGCCGGCCCGGTGGCTTAGTTGTTAAGTTTGTGCTCTCTGCTTCACGGCTGGGGGTTCATAGGTTTGGATCCCGGGTGCAGACCTAGCACCACTCATCAAGCCACACTGTGGAGACATCCCACATAAAATAGAGGAAGATTGGCACAGATATTAGCTCAGTGACAATCTTCCTCAAGCAAAAGAAGGAAGATTGGCAACAGCAGCACATGTTAGCCCAGGGCCAATCTTCCTCACATAAATAAATAAATAAATAAGGCCATCAAAAAGGGCATGCCATTTGAGCAAATCCTGCATGAAGTGAGAGATCAAGTGATGAGGAGGTCAGGGTTTCTTGTTTCAAGAAAAGGAAATGGCTCTAGAGCCTGGTGTGTTGTAGGAACAGCAAAAGGCATGAAGTCAAGAAAGAATGAACTAAGCTAAAGAAGAGGGGAAGGATGGTGAGGGGGAGGTCGGCAGTGGCCAGGCACGAGGAACTTCTGAGCTGTGAACAGAGTTTGGATGTCATTTGAAGCCTGATGGAAATCCATTGGGGCGTTTGTAGCGGGGAAGGAGAAGGGCTGGACTGCACTTTAAAGGATCAGCCTTCCTGTTGTGTGGAGAGCAGACCGTGGCGCACAGGGTGAAAGCAGACAGAACAGTGAGGAGGCACCGCCACAACCCCCAGGAGAGGAGATGGTGGTGGGAGCAGGGAGGCCATGAGAATAGGAGAATTTAGGATGCATGTTGAAGGGACATCCAACAAGACCTGCCGATGGAGCAGATGTGGAGTGTGAGGGAGAGACAAATCAAAGCTGGGATTTGGGTTCTGAGCAATTATGCGTGAGTGGTGCTTTTGGTGAGATGGGAAAGACTGGAGATAGGTGGGCTGGGGAGGGGAAACCAAGAGTTCTCTGTTTTGGACATGTTCATCTTGAAGCTCTAGTAAATATGCAAGTGGAAATGTCAAGTAAGCAGGGGACAAGCGTCTGAAATTAATGCAGGGGCCAGGACTGGAGAGGATGGTTTGGGTATTTAAGCCAGAACCTGGATGAGATGGAGTCACTGTGGATAAGAAAGGGAGGAGAGCACTTGAACTGTTAGGAAGAAGACCCAGCAACAAGACAGAGAAGGTGCAGCCAATGGAATACGATGAAAATCAGGTCAATGAGGTTTCCAGATGTCAAGGAACTAAGTGTTTTAAGAGAAAGGAGTGAGAAACAGATAAATAACATGGGAGCTGGTGATTCCCCACTGGATTGAGAAATGCGGAGGTCTTCAGTGGGAGAGCTTACAGCATGTTAGTATCTTGAGAAGAAGGATCCAATTGAGAGGGGAAATTTTGATAGTACAAGAAAGAAGCTATAAGTTTGAGGAAGGAGGGAAGCCTGGTATTCCACTCGCAGTGGAACTTGGTTCTAACGAGCAGCAGGGCAGTTCTTCCTTCCTAACAAGAGGGAGGGAGGCGGAAGTCGGAGTGCAAGCGTGTGTGGCTTGGTTGACCCGGTGGAGGCAAGGTGCGGTGGTTCTCTCCTGTTCATTTTCTCAGTGAAAGAAGAATCAAAGTCATCAGCTGAGCGTGAGGAGTGGGGTGCTGATGCTGGAGGTTTGAGGAGACGGGAAAACAGGTGCAAGAGTACTTTCAGAGAGAAGGAGACACAGGACAGTGGCTGGTGGTGCAGAGGGCTGCTTGCGGTCTACCGTGGAACGTTAGGTTGGAGCAGTGAGCAAGGACTTTTCTTCAACCACAGTCAGCTGCTCAGATGCAGATGTACAGTCCACAGAAAGTTGTTTATACCCAGGAGTGAGGTTCTTCCAGATAAGTGAGACGAGAGGGAAGAAGAGCAAACACGTACAGGTTATTGTAAAGATCTCTGAAAGCAGTTCTCCCCTACGGAAAGCAAGTTAGTAACACATTCATACACAAAAGAGAGCACACGTGTCTTTAGCGAATTACTAGAGATAAAAAAAAAAAAGACTATAGGGTTATTTCTTATATTGTTACCAAAAACGTGAGTTACTTTTTTACACTCGATATGTCTTCTTTTATTCAAGTGACACAGTTGGTTCTTTCACGTCCTCTCCTTAATCAGCTTTATCTTTCTGCTTGTGTTTCTGGATGTAATAAGTTCTTTGAACCGTACACCTCAGGTAACAGGTTCTTAGTTAAAGTTCTCTCTATAATTCCCAGGATGTTTCAGAGATGCTGGGGGACTTTGGTTGGGTTATCAGCTGTGACGGTTTTCAGTGTAATTTACAGCTGTGAGAACATGCGTTGTCAGCAGTTCCATCCTCCTGGAGTCCGTTCCAGCACAATCGGAGTCTCCTGGGCTTTTCAGAGAGCACGTCCATGCAGTTGCCTGCTGGCTACAAAATTGTTTTCCTCCTCTTGGTCTCCCTCTTCAAATCAAATCTCAAAAACACATCTGCCTGGGACTCCGGGGTCCGATTTCGCTCCAGGTGTTTTCTGTCTTACACCTCCCAGCCAATAGCTCTCCTGGGCTTATAAATCTCCAAGCTTTATTACCACCTCCAGAACTGCCTTGTAACATGCAGGAAACTTTCTGTTTTCTAATAAAAAGCCACTATTTAATACTTTCAAAAACCATGATCACAGATTTCTTACTTTCCTTTCCTATTTTCCAACTGAAAAATAACAATTGTTCTCCAGCTGACAGTTTATTTCGTAGTAGGACCATGCTCTGGCCATGTTATGAAATTTCCCCAGCAGCAACTGGGACCATTTACTGAGAATGACTCTGTGCTGGAAAACATGTTAGAAGGTAACAATAAATGCCATATACCAGCCACCTGGCACCATGGGGCGCTTTCTCATTTCTCAGAATGTACCTAATAGAATAAGTAAGGAAAATAACCCTAGTGACTATTTACAGTGGGCTATGCATTTTCTGTTATTTCACTAAATCCTTACTTTTAAGGCCATTGTTTCACCCTCACTTTATAAATGAAGAAGCTGGTGCTGTTAAGGTTAAGTAAACGGGGCTAGTAAATGCCCAAGTCAGAATTTGAACTCAGGGCTGCCTGGTGTTTTCCACTTCACTGCACTGCCTCACCGAAATCTCAGTAGAAATATGATTAAGTCCTTAAAATTTCACCCCTTTGTTCTGTCGTTAATGCAGAAGTAGAAATATTAATCATTTTTGTCTTTATAGGGAATAAATGGAAAAGATGGATTACCAGGTGCCCAGGTATGGAAAATACCTCTTAAAATAAGTCTTCCAGTGCAAAACCGCACCCAGAACACTATCAATCAGGTTGATGGGAAATGGTGACAAGCAGTGGTTTTTAGTGTTGACATCTGTTTTTCAGGGCATCATGGGTAAGCCTGGAGACAGAGGCCCCAAAGGAGAACGTGTACGTATATTGCTATTGTGGTTGCTGTTTCAGTCTGTCTGTTCAATGGTCCCAGCATTTCAGTTGCACAATTATGTATGTGGAACCCTACAAATCTCCCACTATAAAATGGATACGATGTGTGTGATCCAAGGTCTCTGCTAGGCATAAAACATGACAATTAAAGGGCCCAGAAGCAGGTCATGTGACAGGTACACCTGTATGGTTGGCCTTGTATACACAGCTAAGTGTGTTTTGCTATTCCAGTTTGGAAAGCTTTTGTCACCCTCCTGTCTCAGACACATATCCCTACTCTAATTATCACCCATGTTCTTTTCACTTAGAGTTTCTCAACCTCAGCACTGTTGATATTTGGGGGCAGATAATGCTTTGTAGGTGCCTGTCCTGTGTATTGTAGGATATTTAGCAGCATCCCTGGCCTCTACCCACTGATACCCTAGTACCACCTCCTTCCAATTGTGACAACCAAAAAGGTCTCTAGACATCAACAAATATACAAATATGTCTTGGTGAGCAAAGCTGCCCTGGTTGAGAACCCTTGACCCGGTGGAATATTAAACTGAGGAAGGGGGTAGTGTGCGGGGTAGAGAAATGGAAAGAGGGACTGAACATGTGAAGGTACCAGCAATGCCGCTTATGGTGGACGCTTTTATTGGAATTGTTCATGTTGTTGATATCATTATTGCAACTTCCCATTATTTTCTTTAAGGAAACTTAACGTTTTCTATTAGAATTAGAGCCATTCCACTACAACAGGCTGCTTAAACATTTTTACTCCGTGGAATTCTAGAAAGGGCTGCTGGGGTATGTGTGTGTGCACATGAACATGTGTGTTTGTGTACTGGTGTTTAGTTTGCTAATTTTTACTTATTATTACAGGAATAACCCATGATAACTGAAGTAAATATGAAAATAGAGATCATTTAAATAAAAAAAGAAAATAGTCTACCTTATCACACCACACAGAGATAAATACTTTTGATATTTGGATATATTTCCATCTCTCTCACTCTTATACATAATACACACATATGTTTAATGTATCACTGCAAATGAATACATGCTTTTCAAGAAATGGGTTCATACTGTCCCGTAAATAACTTTTTTCGCCCAACGACACATAATGACCATCTTTCCATGTCAGTAACATAGATCTCAATCTACCTGTTAGTGGCTGTGTTATGCCACTGCTTTCAGATACCTTGTTTCACTTTCCAGTCTCCCTTTTCTGAGTATTTAGGTTCTTTTCAATTTTCATAATAATAAACATCATTTTAATGGACATCCTTGTGCCTAAATTATAAAATAATTTTCATATGTTAAAGACTGTTGTTTATTTTGCACATGATCAGAGTATCAAAGTGTGCTAATATTTCTTTTATTTCCTTTTTTAAATTTTAGTCATCTGAGATATTTCTCCACATGTGAGCGGGGTTGATACACTTGTGTGCAGATCACTTTTATAACTAAGACAGTAGCACTGAAATTATATCCATCTGCTTTTTTCTTCTTTCTACATGGCTTCTTTGTACAGACTCTTCATTCCATGATCAAATAAATCTCCATAAATCGTTTCTTCGTTTTCATTATTTTTAAATCAAGGGAGAGTTTCTCCTTTTGCTGAGTAGTCACAAATAAAAGAATAATACAGTGAAGTACAGGGCAGCCTCAATGCACCATGCCACTTGTTTGGTGTGAGCATTACCTCCTGGAGTTGTGGAACCGGACATTTGAAGTATCTATGACTGACACCCCTCCCATGATCTCTCTCTCTCCTATCCTCTCAGGCACAAACACAGTAATAGACACCTTGCAGGATAAAATCAGCATTAAAGAAGCTTCTTATCAGATTCAGGCATATCTAATATAATCTTACACCTGATTTATTATGGCACGTTACTCGACGAATTCTCTCATAGTTCATTTATGTTCTTGAGCAAATGACCACAGTGACGACTCTCCTCCCCAATTACCTGCTTTGATCCTCTTCACAGCTCTCCTTTCTCACCTCCCTGAGTTGTGTATCTTTAGGGCACAGCGTGTGTGCATGCATACACACACACCACACATAAAACACAGCACAGAAACCAACCCACAGAGTCTAATAAAGTCCAACATACAGGATAAAGCAGAAAAAAAGAAAAGCACCTGATTTAGGAGCAATTTCAAGCGTCCTGAAGTTTTCCTGAGTGAAAAATCTCGGGGATAAAGTCCTCTTGGCAATCTTGCTTTATCATTGCAAAGGAGACCCGGGCCTGGAGTGACAGCTGCTGTGCACTTTCTAAAGTGTCGTCATTCTAGACTGGCAGTGAGTACAGCTAACACCGTAACTGACTTTTCGTTGAGTGCTTCCAGCGTGCCAGGCGTTGTTCTGAGCCCTTTCTTGAGTTACCTTATTCATTTCTCAGCATCCTCTACTTAGTGGATACTGTTGACATCCTCACTTCATGGAGAGGAAGCTAGGGCACAGAGAGTTTAATTCACTTACCCAAGGTCCCACAGCTGGTAGGTGCCAGTATGAATCCACAGCCTTTGCTGTCACCCACAGCTAATGTGGTTTTAGAAGACATCATTCTTTATGATTAATTTTTTCCCTAACAGGGTGATCAGGGAATCCCAGGAGACAGAGGCCCACAAGGCGAACGGGGAAAACCAGGCCTTCCAGGCGTGAAGGGGGCCATAGGGCCTGTGGGGCCACCAGGAAGCAAAGGCTCCACGGGATCCCCCGGGCACCAAGGCCCTCCCGGCGATCCAGGTGCCCCCGGCTCTCTGGTAAGTGGCGCTGAGAGCTCCAGGAGCTCCTGGCTGGTATTGACACACAGCCCTTTTACCATGAAAGCAATCGTAATCCTTTCAAAATAAATACGATGAACCTAAAGTGGCTCTGAGAGGGTAGCAACAGCTGTCATTTATTTCAGACCCTCCACTAAGCCCTGACATACCTCCCCTCACTGGGTGCTCACAACTAACCTGGGAGGATGGGTAACCTTTGCATCTTACTGCTGCAGGTGCAGAAACTGAGAGCCGGCTTGTCCCAGGTGACAGTTAGTTCCTGGGTCAGACCCAGGTCTGACGGACTCCAAAGCCATGTTTTTAAATACTATCTGTAATGTCTCCTTACCCAACACAGGAAACACCAGTGTCTGTTTCATGGGAAAACTCCGTTTCATTGAATGTCAGAGCAAGTCTGCCCTGAGTAGTGCTTTGAAGAGGAAACCAGTTGGGCCAAGAAAGAGTGTTGGTTAAGGAAGGTGTATCTTTATTACTGTCCTCAGGGGGCATGGTGGATGACCATTCCACAGAAGAGCTTAACCTGAAAACGTCCGTGTGAGGAAGGGCATCCTGGAGTGAGGTCGGGGAGCTAAGGGCATGCCGTCCTCAGATAATCAGCCAACGCCAGATGTAGGGACGAATTGGGCATTCCCACAATCTTCACACTTCTTCACTTTCACCAGCTCTCCCTGAGCTCTGCTTGAATAACGCCTGTATAACAAGCTCTTAGCGCTGTGTCGGTGATTGGTATTAGATGCATTAATTAAGTTCATTTGTCCCATACACAGTGAAAATAAAATGTTGAAATAGGGCACTCTTGGAAATATTCCATCCTACAGAAATCCTCCCTTTCTGAGCCCATCATGTTGTCGTTAATGCCACACATGTGCCCCTGGCTAGAAACCACCACATACAGAGAAGAGTCACAAAATACTTTGAAACCCTAACCATCATGAAAAATAATCGCTCCCTTCTACAAATACCAAGGTGCTATAGTAAAAAATTACTATTACAAATGTTAGGTTCTTTGTCAAACTCATGCATATTTGTTTGTCAAGGGATTAAAATCTCAACTAACATCACCTCCTTCCCTTTACCATGTCCCACAGCATTTTCTATCAAAAAAAAAAATTGCTTTAAACATATGTGCTTGCGATGTGTAAGTTACAGAATAAACTTTACCATGAAACAGGTAAAGCTTAGTAAGCTGTATCCCATGCGTAAAATGTTTTAAAGAATAATCCAGCACACGTGGAGTCCTCTTCCTTTGAAGATATTTCAGTTAGATGTTGGCTTTACCAGCGTCCAGGGATTGGTTAGAAGTTAAATTGTTCCTGGGATATTAACATGATGATCAGACTGTTCAAATTCCATGACTTCAGAGCACGAAGTCGTAGGAAATGTCTGTCCTAACCGTGTGAAGCCATGTCTCTCCGCTGACCAGGAAACATGCTCATATCGCTGGCCATGACTCCAGCCCATAGATTTTACAGCAATTATGCACTTCAGCTTCTTCCTCAAATTTGATCAGAACAAAAGATATTTATTGCCTAATATACTGAATTGCCAAAGCATTTTGCTTGATAGATGCACCTCTCTGGAAGTTCAGGGGTGCAGCCCAACCCGGTATTTCTATTCTTGATTCATCCATGCTGTGCTCCATTTTAACAGAGATTTCTTTTCTCCTTCTTTAGGCTGATGCAGTTTCATTTGAAGAAATAAAGAAGTATATTAATCAAGAGGTTCTAAGGATTTTTGAAGGTTAGATTTGCTTGATAAACATTTCTGAATTTTTCGCCGATTCCCACCTCCTGTGCAGGTTGGAGAATTCCTTCAGCAGCAAGCTCAAAAGATGGTTGTGCCACGGCAACCTTGAGAGGCAACCCATTTTATGATGGAGCAGCTCTGTTGGGTAGAAAATTCTTCCCACGCTGAGTTAAATCTGCCTCCTTGTAGCTTCCTCTCGTCCCTCCTGGTCCGCTAAATAGCACAGGTCAAGGGTCTTGCTCTATTCCCGCGACAGCCCTTCGAGTATCTTTCAGCATCCGTGGGGCTTTCTCTTCCATGGAGTCAGTGTATCCAGCTCCTCCCCCATCATCACCCTTGAGAGATACTAAATCGTTCAGTGACCCTCATTCATCCAGGAGTACTTTGACCAGGGCTGAGGACAGTGTCTTTTGATCGAGACCAGGGCCAGCAAACTATGGCCCACCGGCCAAATCCGCCCGCCACCTGTTTTTGTATGGCCCACAAGCTGAGAATGGTTTTTACTTTTTGGGGGGCAGAGGATACATCTTTAAATGGTTTTTTAAAGTCAAAAGAATATTTCATGACGTGTGAAATGATCTGAAATTCAAATTTGTGTCCATAAGTAAAGTTTTTTGTAGCTCAGTCACACTCATTCCTTTCTGCATTTTCTCTGGCTGCTTTCATGCAAGGGAAGAGGACTAAGCAGCTGTGACAGGGACCACTCAGCCTGCAAAGCCAGAAATGCTTACTCTGACCCTTTTCAGAGAAAGTTCTCTGACCCCGATATAGACACCTCAACCATGCAGCCAAAGACGGCATTCCATCCTTTAGAAAAGCATCCATCTCACTCTGTTGATTCTTGACTAACCACCTTGGATCTTCCTTACATAAACTTCGTAAAATTAGGTGTTTTTCATTATACACTGTGTCTATTTTTAAAGTCCAACTGTGTGATTTTATGTTTCTCCTTACTAAATTTCAAGTGATTCGTATTCATATGTTGTCCCTACCTTGTGGAATGTTGTGTTGTAGGGCGAGTTGGCTGACCATCCTAACTTTGTGTCATCTCCAAGTTTTATAAGCATGTCATCATTCTAATGATTGATCGAAATGTTGAATCAAAAAGAGCCAAGAGTGAAGGAGTAGGCCTTTCTAAATGCCATTGTGTTCCTCCTCCCCCCGTAAAGAGTCTATTGACCTAATGTTTTAGTGAGCTCTGAGTCCTTAGAGTTGTCATCAAATCCACTCTACCTTTCTTTATCTGTTCACAAGGATAACGCATGATTTTGTCAAACGACTTGCTAGCATCAAGATCACTCCCCTCAGCTATGAACTGAACAAAGTGAGAATTATTTGTCTTCAGAAAATAAATCCACATTGGCTATCATGGTTCCCTTCTTTTGCAGAGCGTCCTTCTTTTTTTTTTTTTTTTTTTGTAAGATTTTATATTTTTCCTTTTTCTCCCCAAAGCCCCCTGGTACATAGTTGTATATTCTTCGTTGTGGGTCCTTCTAGTTGTGGCATGTGGGACGCCGCCTCAGCGTGGTTTGATGAGCAGTGCCATGTCCGTGCCCAGGATTCAAACCAATGAAATACTGGGCCACCTGCAGCGGAGCGCACGAACTTAACCACTCAGCCATGGGGCCAGCCCCCAGAGCGTCCTTCTTTACTACTTTGTTGAATTTTGCAAGGAGTGAGGTTACAAGGTACCCCAAGTTCACTGTGAATCCTTCTACCGCAAGCACAGAATTAGCAGCTCTCCAAGAAGCTCTGATTGTTTTAAGCAGTAATTAGTATTAGAGACCCAAATCTCAGTGCCTGAGTGCACATTATCTTATTTCACATGAGCACTGGAGGTAGAGCAGAGTGACACAGGGACTTTTAGCACTTCAGTGATAAAATAGAAAAAGGTGTTTCTCTAAAAATTCATAAAAGTTTATGGTGTTGATTTCAATTTACCTTGCTGTCTACTAAGTGTCTTTATTCGCTCTGACATGATAATTTATTAATACAATTTTCCACTCTTTTTTTTGAGCTATCAGTCTTTTCTTTATAGTTTTAATGTTGCCCTTAAATTTAGAAACCTCCTTTTCTTTTTTTTTTTTTGACCTTTGAATCAAGCATCATGGAATAGGCTCCACACTTTGCAATACAAACATTCGCCCTCAACAAGTGTGCCTCAAGCACCAAGTGTCTGAAAAAGGAAAAGGCACTTTGAGCTCTCCAGGAGCCACTGAAGACTATAGAGGCAGAGGCAGGGCCAGCTGATTTGCAGGACTCAATGCAAAGTGGAAATGCAGGTGCCCTTCTTCAAAAAAGATCACGAATTATGAAACAGCCACAGCAGAACATTATACGGAGCGTAGGGCCTTCCGAGCCTGGGGCCCTGAGTGACTGCACAGGTGCCTGTCCATGGAGCCAGCCCTGGACACAGGACATCCAGGACCTCAGAGAGCATCCACAGCCTAACAGACCACAATCACCAAAAGGGAAATGCCAGCAAATTTCTGTCTTTGAATTGCAATCTAAAATTCCCTTGTATCTCTTAATTTCCATGGGCTCCAGGGTCAATTATCTTTTATCTCAGGCAGCTTAATGTTGACCTTCAATTCCTTAAAAGACTTTAGATAAAAACGTATATTAAATAGTTCACTAGTTAATTAGTCTAACTTTTTAAGGCTGGTTAAGAATACCAGAAAATAGAACCAAGCGCTATCAGAAAAATATGATGTGTTGAGACATGGGAAGTGTTCATTTTGAAAGCCCAGTGGACACTGGATGAAGGCATGGCCCTGGTGGCCTGCCCTGTGCATTCAGCAGGGAGAACTTGGCTCCTTCCACCTGCAGAAGGCTCCGTGCTGCCCGCTCCCAGGCCATTCTGTGGTTTTTCCGTGAACGGCTCTCTGCCTCCTGAGGAATCGGGTGCTCTCCACCTGTCTTGGGGCAGGCCCCGTGGCTTGTACTTTCTTGGCACCTCCTCTAAGTCTGTGAGCTCCCTTTCTGCACTCCTGCCCCAACTTTCCCTCTTGGAGTTGCTCCCTGCCTGCCAGGAAGCTGGCGGGTGCGGAGTCCTCCCAGGTCTCCTCTGGTTGCACCCCCATCTCTCCTACTGCCTCTCTCCGTCTCTTCCAGCCTGGCCAGGTCCAGATGAGTGGCCAGTGCTCCCTCAGAAGACACAGATGTCTTGACCTCAAGGCAATATTCTAAAGTAGCCACAAGGAGATTTTTTTTCCTGAGGTTTCTAGAGTCTGAGACTTCGAATTGATACTCTTCTCCTTTTATCTCTGCTGGCACCAGTCCAGCAAGACTGTCTTTTCCCAAACAAAATTGTACCTGATAGCCAGAATTTAGTATTTAGCACTTTAGTCCATTTGTCCCAAGATTATTCCAATTCAGTCCATTCAATTTTCCATTTACAAGTCACTTTTCCATGGCTTCTGAACACCATTTACAAAAAAGAAAAAAGAAAAGCTCCATTTTCACGAATCCTAGAGCGCCAAGGTCACAGTTCTCCTTTTCAGAAAGCATTCTCTGTAAAAGCAAAGGTTAAATTCCATGTGTTGAAACACTCACCGTGAAGAGCTGCACCCACGTGCTTCTCCTTTTCTCAGCCGTTTCACAGGAGAGCTGGGTCAGCGGCAACTGATGCTCGTCTCTGTGCCGTTCACCTCTGCACATCCACGGCCTCAGGAGCGGGTGTCTCCACTCATCACATCATGGACTTCCAGCGGGGGCTCGAGGGGGTCCTCAGGAGATCCTGCCCCACTTTATCACCCGAGGGGTCCACACTGGCTCCTCTAGTTAGAGCTGGACCAGGACCCAAAACTTGGGCTCTCCTCCTGGAGCTTTCCAACTCCCTTTGGGGATTCCCAGGTGACCCCACTGATACAGCACCTCCCACAGAGGCTATTCCCCAGGCCACCCAAGCCCTCCGTCAGCATCCTGATGCCCCATCCCAAACCTAGCCATGGTGAGGAAGGTGTTTTCCCACCAACCACAAGTCTGGGCTTCTGGTGGATTGCAATGCACAAGCATACACCCAATCTAAAGTTAGATTAAATTCCTAATTTGATTGGCCAACAGGTCAAATCCTTTTGCAAGCAAGGTGGCCACACAGAGTGGGGACAGATGCCATGTGTCTCAGCTTGGCTTCTTTTGGCTTTGTGAGGGCTTTGCAGCTGCCAGTGATGCTGCCCACACAAGTTAGGATCTTGCCAGATCTGAGAAGCTTCATTCTTGCTATAACATCACCCTCCTATGCTCGGCATTACATCACCGTGCAGGAGGAATTTACCAACCTGTGCAGGAATGTGGACACACATCCGGCTCTCTCAGTTCTTGAGACAAACTTGGAACCAACAAGACCAAACCTGCAACTGTGGGAGAGAAGGAAGGTTAGGGCTAAGTGTCCCTGAAGAATGTTTCTGCCTCCAGATTTCTAATGTTTGGGAAAGCCCCTCTACCTATGTTTTCTCCATTTTTCCTACATGTGTTTCATAGACATGTGTGTGAACATGTGTGAATATGTATCATCCTGTTCTCTGGTTTAAAGGTTGCAATATTTTCACTTGGATCTTTACAACTAAGATATTACTTTATATTTATATATGTGTATACATATTTGTATATATACACATCATCTGATAAATACACGTATTGAAGATAGAAATATAATTTTTCAAAATATTTTCCACAGTGCAGTCTCCATTTCTTCCAGTTTGCTTGGTTCTGCTTCTTTGTTTTGGTCTGTCGTTCAACTTATAGGATTTCCTCAGGGCCAACAATCCTTGGCTGTCTGCTGATACAAAAGAGTGGGTGCTAAAAACTGATGGGCGGTTGTGAGTGAATGGTGGGGCTTGCCAACTGTAAGCTTCACTGTCGGGTGGTCTAGCTGTGCTTTTTACTTGAAAGACCCTCAGTTTCAGTGTCTTTAAGTCTTTCCTCTTATTTTGGCCAGATTTCCCCAGAGGAAACACTTCCATTTCCTGCCTGGCTGCCAGCATTTGGGGAGC